TTTAATTAATAGCATCGGTTCACTTCATTAATACCATTGGAACATCTCATTCATATTATTAGACCATTGCACTAATTTCATAGTATCTCAATAGTATTAATGGATTACCCCATTAGTATAGTCGGATCATCCCAATAATATCATAACATATTATTGGGGTGAGATATTATCGATAACAGCCGTGGCGCAGTATTTAAAATGCTTGCTTTAGAAACACTGCGCCACGGAGACACTGTGCCATGAGATCTATGGTAGAATGTGAGCTTTGGGCATATTCGTATCATTGAGACTGTTAAGTCTTTCTTGGTGCACTAAAAGTAGAATTTTTAAACAAAAATTTTGGCGCTGTTAAAATATTATCATCATATTCGTATTTTATTTATTTATTTATTTAATTGCTGCGGTGAGCAAATGCTCACTGAGTGGTAATCCATATTAGCAGCAAGTTTAAAAACTACAATATGAAATTTTAATTTACATAATAAAGTTCATCAAGACTTTTTTTAAAGTTCAACACTGATCAAACGGCAAATTGTTCCAAATTGGAATAATACGATTGGAAAAAAAATTTCTTCTACTCGAGTGTCTACAGGTCTCAGAAGTATATCTTTGATTGTGGATATAGTTAAGAACACTTCCAGCTGGTTCAGTTGGTCGACAAAAGTTCCTTATGGAAGATACTCTATTTAGCTGATAAGAATTATTAAGACATTTAAAAAGTTAATTATATCGCTTCTTTCTCTTCTCATAAATAAGGTTGTTAAATTAAGTCTATTTAATCTTTACTCTGAATATCCTGGAATAAGTCTTGTTGCTCTATGTTGTACTCCTTCAATAAGATTAATACCTTTTTTAAAAAATGGATTCCAAATAGAAGACGCATATTCTAGATGAGGACTTTATTTGTTTGAACAACAATGTATAGAAACATTTAGTTTTTACTTTATTTAAAGATGCCATTTTTGTGTAATATGAGCATGCTCAAATTACCCAGTGTTTTTCATTAAAATTACGTAGTTTAAAGTCCTAAAATAGCAGTGGTTTTAATTGCTTTTTAATTAAAAACATAGTAACAAGTTTTAATATTTTAATAATACTAAATATTTTTTTTGTGATTTAAATTCAAAAAATTTGAATTTTTATCATTAACGGTTTGAGTTAATAAAATTGAAAAAATAACAAATTTTTTGTTGCGGAAAACATAGTAGTAATCTTTCAACAAAAAGTGACTTAAATTTTTTTTTTTTTCTTTATTAATTTTATTTAGGTGCCCCAAGAAGTCCTTACGGTCTTATCACAGAGCACCACGGATGAGCATTTAACACAAATTTGATTTTTTAATGATAAGTTTTGTTAATAACAAATCATTATATTCCAAAAATTAGTTCTAGTTATCACGTTAGTATTTTTTTACTTAATTAATGTTTTTTTTTTTTGAGGTAACTTAAAGGGCTCATATTAACACGTGGTCTGGGTAGTATGAGCACCTTTGCTACTCTTTTAAAAACTCTATGCTTTAAAGAAAAATTTCGGTTGCCAAAAATATCTAAATAAATCATTAGTAGGGATCCCTAAAAATTGTTTATTCGCAAACATTTTGGATTCAGCATAATTATTTTTGAAAATATTCAAATTTTCGTCTAAGGTACTCATATTACACTAATCTACCTTAAATAAAAAAAAGATTTTTATATCATCATTAATTTCAAAAAAACAATCTCATATCGTTTTATCATTCGCTATCGTATCATTTTTCATTCTATTTAATCATTCATTTTAAAAAAATAAAATTTCATATAACATTAAAATTTCACATTTATATTCATTATCATACCATTTTTCATTTCATTTTATCATTCATTTCAAAAAATAAGATTTTCAAATTTATTATTTAAGATTTCATATTATCAGTAAAATTTTCATAATATCACCATATTATCGGATTAAGTTAGTTCAATGCAGTTTTAAATTCTTAAAAATATTTATATAGACTATTTAAAAAAAGAAATAATTTTTACAATTTTTTACAATAAAAAAAGTCATCCAAGAAGAACATAAAGGGAAAATATAATCAGTTATATATAATCAATATTATTAGTCATTAAAGTTATTATTATTTTTAAACATTAGAAAACTATCAATTATCATTATAATATTGTACTACAATATTATAAACTTATAAAACTTATCATTATTATTAGATAAACTTATCATTATTATTATTATAAACTTATAAAGCATTGTTATAATTAAACATTGCAAAATTGTTCGATTTATTAACCAACATAAACAGCCTTTGAATCGCCTAAAGGTATGTAATATGTAAGTACACTATTAGAAAAACACACTATTGGAAAACTATTCTTTTTTATAAATTTCATAAAGTTAAAAAAAAAAAGAATTTAATTAAATAACTAAACTTAATTAAAAAAATAATTTACAAATTAAAGTAACCGGATAACCGTGCAACGTATAATTTGGAATTAAAAGTTTTCATTTTTTTTTTATTGATTATTTAAAATTTATTAGTGCTTTTTGAAAAGTAGACATAAAGTATATCAGAACCTAAATTATTTTAAACAATTTTAAGTTAGAAGTTTACATTCATTTTTATTTATAATAAAAATTTTAATTAAAAAAAGGGGTTGGTTAAGTACTTAAATTTGAAATTTAATTTTTATAACTATTTTACTTTATGAGGGTCCGAATTTCGAAGTTTGAAGGTCGAAGTTCAATGCCTTCTCTAGTCTTTATAAATAATTATAAATGATATTGGTAAAAAATAATCATAGTAAAAAGCAAAGCAAACTTCGTAGTTAAATGGTTTTCCGCAATGCACTGTGACAGGTTAGGTCTTTTTGGAACACTTTAATAACCAAAAGAAAAAAAACATTCTAATAATTTTATTTTTTATTTGAAACCAAACGGTTCTGTTTAATACAATACTCTCTGTTCAATGCAATACTCCTTAGATTAACTAAAAACATATGTGACTGTCTCTATTTTTCTATAATGTGGAAATCACAAGTAATAGGTTAATTTTAAAAAATCCATAAATTTTATTTAATTTAAAAATATATGTTTCTGCTTGATTTATTTGATCGTAAGCTCTAATCAATAATTATTTTTTAGCTGTGAGTGTTCGATTCATGACCAAGAGATACATTGGGGAATATCAACACAATGTTGACAATACTTACAAAAGAGAAATTGTTATAGAAAACGATACTGTTTGTTACGAACTTAGAGATACGTCAGCTTCGGTATGAACAAACGAATAAAACTATTTAAAAATTACTTCCATTTAACACATTTTTGTAAATTCATTTAATTTTCAGGTTGATAATAACTGCCACGTATCTTGGGCTTCATGCATAGCAGTTATATATGCTATAGATAATCGCTCTTCTTTTAATATTGCAAAAGACATTCTTCAAAGTATTAAAACTTTTGTGGAAAAATCTGGAAAATTACGAGAAGCCATCCCTTTAAGATATTCTTTAATCGGAAATAAAAATGATTTAGAACATCTTCGCGTAATAAGTTTAGAAGAAGGAAAAGCACTTGCAACAAAATATAATGCAAGATTCGGTGAAATATCAGCAGCAAATGATTATGTATCAATATACGAGTTGTTTAGCAGCATGATTAGAGACGCTTATGCTTGTGTTGAAAGTTCAAAACAAACTACTACTATTGATTACCTTAAAATTGACTCTAAATTACGCACTCGAGCACACACATTAACTCCATCAACTGAAAAATCACAAACTGAGAACGATTTTGAAGTTAATTTGTTTGTATGGGATAAAAAAAACGAAGATGACTCGATCAGTGTTCATAGTGCATGTTCAGCCATGGAAAATCGAAGAAGCCGATATTCACTAAGCGAAGGATTAGAAACATTAAGCACCGATTCTAATTCGGATATAAATGAGCTAAGCAATTCTAACGAAAGAAAAAAATGTACTGATGAACAAGATGAAGGGTTAACTATTAGAGTTCCAAGTGTCGGCACGGCAAAAAAAGAAAAATCACGATCGTCATCAAAGCGAAGCCAAAAGCAGCGGTCGCTTAAAAAATCAGGCAAAAGCAAAAGTTACTCTGACCTGGCATCATCAGTAAGGGAGCAAAATGAATTTGATAAACCTTTATTTTTGTCTGATAATATAAGTACAATTAATAGCGAATTGCTTTCTGATAACCACCAAGCAGAAAATTCGGAAAAATTGTCAGCTGCGCATAAAAATGGCTGGAGTATTTTGCGAAAAGAACGGCCAAGATTATTAGCAACCGCATTGGGAAGTAAAAATGAAACCTCTATTGATGAACCTTCACGGGATATACCAGAACAATCTAGATTTAAACGTGACGGCAGCAGATCGTCAGTCAGGAAAAAATTTTCCACTATATTTAGGCCTAAAATAGTAATAGCCACTCCTACATTTGCAAATTAAACAAGCACGCACTGAAACAAATTCCACTCTAAGAAAACCGCATGCAACAAACTCCACAAACCCACGGAAACTTACTCAGTAATTAGAGTTAATATTGCCGCACAAATATTCAGAAGTGGATTTTCAAGTATAAGTTTTATATTTAATATTCCTGATTGATAGTTAACTTGGACTTTTTAGAAGTTTTTGCATAATTCTATATATGAAAATGAAACGTAAATACGTAAAAATGGTTGCTTTTTATTAATATCGGTTTACTTTATGTTAAATGAGAATATTATAAAAACAGGCGGGATTTTTTTTTATTTTCCAAAAATATTTACAACGATTCAAAAAAAATCAAAATAGTTTTTTATTTTTACAACTTGTTCTTTTATAAGTTAAACCTGACGATGTTGACATCCATTCTGGCACCTTTCTTTTACCTGCCACTTGGCAATCGACCTTTGGGGATGCTTCATCTTTTTTAAAGTAAGCATCCACTTTACTTGCCTTTTTTTCATTAAAAAAAATAAATAATAAAAATAAATAAACAATTACCTAAAATTTAATTGCAAATAATAAATAAAATAATTCAAAAAAACAAAAACAAAAACAATTCAAAAAAAATAAATAAATAAATAAATAATAAATAAAAATAAAAAAAAAATATAAAAATATAAAAAAATAAAAAAAAAATAAAAAAAAAAATAAAAAAATAAAAGTAATAAATGACATACTTTAGGAACATAATCAAAATTATTTGCAATAATTGCAGGAGTTTGCATGTTATCTGTCACACCATAAGTAATCTCAAGCATGGTTATTATAAAGCGAATTTTTCCGTAACCAATATCGACAGGTAACATATCCTTTATGGGATGTAACCGTCTTATATCTGTAAGCAAGGAAAATATTATAAATTTAATTTCTAAACTTTTATGCAATATCAGTAAAATACTAAACGTTTTAAATACCACGTAAAAATTGGAAGTATTAACTTTTTATTCACAACAAAATCGTATCAATAACATTTTTCTTACAGATATGAATCAGAAAAACTTTAATCGTTATAACAATATGACCAATTCAAATAATACAACGATCAAAATAATAATACCTGAATTAATTTCTTTTGACCTAATAACTTGAACAACCTTTGCTATTTCATGTTCAGATATTTCTACTAAAAAACAAAATGCAAGATAGTTATAAATTAAAACATAAAAAAAAATTACCCTTAAATTCAATTACTTCATTCTACTGGTTCGACATTTACACAAAAAAGCAAAAAAGAATATGTCTACATCATACATCTGTTAAAATCTATAGATTTCCCAGAAACCAAAGCAGCCGAAAGATGTCCATAAATGGTATCTTCAAGAAGTGATCTTTGCTTAGCTACCTCACTCTGATTTAAAAAGATTTAAAATCAATATTTTTTTTTTTTTATTTACAAAATATTTTAACAAAATATCACATACATTAGTACATCTTAAAAATAAAAGTACTAAAAATAGGTGAAAATAAAAATCATATCAATTGCATTTATAATAAAGCATTTATTTAGCAGAGTAAAAAAGTTAGATTAACAAAAACAAACAAACAAAAAACGCATTGACACAAAGCACGCATTGACACAAATCTATTAAGACCTAAAAAAAACGCATTGACACAAAGCACGCATTGACACAAATCTATTAAGACCTAAAAAAAAACGCATTGACACAAAGCAAATCTATTAAGACCTAAGTAAGTGAAAATGACTAGAAAATACTTTTTCAAAAATAACACGAGTATATAAGATAGTCGTATTATGGGAAACTGTTCAACCCATGTAAACAATAAACACAGCTTTAATGTATCCGCTTTAAAGACTCATCAGAAAGCCATACATCTTTAAATTCCTGCACATATCTAAGTTATATCAGCTGTAATTAATTTTCTATTTAAAATAATATTTATATTTAAAATAAAAAATGATGATAGGGAATTACAACTCTGCGAAAAATGAATATAAAAAGATGTCTTACTGGGGTGGGCCGCCTGTTAATCACGGGAAAATGATAAAAATATGACAATTTATAGAGGAAAAATTATATCTAAAAAAATATTTTCTTTGTGATTTTTTTTTTTTAATCACTATTTATTAAGTCAAATTTTTAATAAATTTCATATTTGGTTAAAAAATTCATAATAATGACCACATAAACTGCATTTTTATGAACGGTGTTTTTAGAAAAATTAGGCAGTTTTTTTATACTTTAGACAGAGAACTTGACTGTTGGTGTTTGACGGTTTTACCTGTTTTTAAAACAAAAAGAGTTGGACCTCTAAAGATTAAAGCAAAGAATTTAATGAGGATTCTGAATCTGCAAAAAAAATAATAATAATAATAATAATAAAAATTCAGCTTGTATACAGTTGAAGTGATTATATACCAAGAATAATTATCCACTATCAGATTTGCAGTTTTATTGCAGAACAATTTTAATTTCACACTGTCTAGTTTAAAATCTGACCAATTTACCTTTAGGACTGGATCTGGATAAAGTAGAGGCATCGTTAGTTAAGGCATAAATAATCTTTCCATCAAACATTGTAAAATGTTCATTGTAACAGGTTTTGGTACAAATGTTCATCTGATTTAATGTCAAATATTTTTTTCTCTGCTATCAAAGTTATTATTATAACTCGGTTACTTCCAACTTTCACTTTTCCACAACCACACTACGTAGTCTTCATTTTGACTACAAACCACAATACAAAACCACAATACAAAAAACACTTTATATAAACGATTAATATAGATCTTCAAATACAGTATTATAAAATAATTATAATTGATCTTTATCGGATCACATACATAACAGAAGCTATGTCCTCATCATAAAAAGTTATAGATAGCGATTTTGTTGAATTTACTTCTGTTTGTTTTTCTAGCTTAAGATTTATATTTAATAGGATAAGAAAATATTTGTATATAAAAACAAATAGTTTTAATGAACTAGTTAATTGTAAAGAAATACTAACTCCCCAACAAACGCAATTACAAAATATAGATGTCTTTAAACAGAACATACTTGATATTGATTTAAAGTAAATACAAATTTAGCCATATTTATCTTTACATACATGACACACTTTTAAACATTACTCAATAAAGCGCAAAAAAGTGCAGCTAAAATTTTGCATGTTAATTTTCTATACTATTAGTGAGGTGTTGATAACACCTCACTAATAGTATAGAAAATATACATAGAAATATAGAAAGCATATATTTATACTAATAGTATAAAATATAACATTAATAAGTAATTACAGTTTTGTTTTAAGACTTTTGACTGGTGTAAAAGGTTATTTTAAAAACATGTCAAATTGGCTGCAAAACTCGCTTTTAATTTAAAAAATGTATTTATTGCCGAAAAAAACCTTGTATAAGAGCAAAATGAATAGTTTTTAAAATAAATTTTTTATCAAATCAATTACCCTCATGTTTTAAAAAATAGATTTTAAAATTTTTAATCTAAAAAATTAATTTTTTTTAAAATCCAATTTTGGCCACTTTTTAAGGTTTCTGAGGCACTGTGCAACGCTTGTATCGCTTCCATACTTGATAGCGATAGTGGTGAGCACTTTCTCTTGCCTGCTTGGCATATACACCAACCACACACTGACTATGCTGAAGAAAAAGAACAAAATGACATACTAAAATATGAACTTTCCAGCTAATATTTAATTGGTAGTGAAACTTTTCCAGAAGATGAAGCTGAAGATTTTCGAAAGCTTTTTTAAAATCTAAAACTAATTCAGCAACAAATTCTCCAATAAACATGCTAAAACCTTTTGTTTTAATAATTGAAAACTTTTTAAGACAACTAACCACAGATTGAAGAAATATCATATTTGGTAATATAGAGGCTGCACTTAGAAGGTTAACTTTAAATTATCTAACTTATCTAAAAGTCTCTGTGAATTGTTACTATCCAAACCAGTTCAGTGGTAACCTCTAAAGATTATATATTTCGACTTTAGCCACAAATCAAAATCAGGCCACAGTGTAAATAACATTTTTACAAACATAGAAGTAATACCAATAAGAATGTTTAACTCTGGTGGAGGAATGAGATGTTCTACTAAAGTTTCTAGAGATTTATCAAGATACACAACTCTAGGAGAAATACAGTTTTTAAATTCCATCATGTGATTTTTTTTGCATCCATCTTCAACGAACTTGTTGTAGCTGATATCAATTGAACCTAAGGTTCTTTTTTTTCAGCTCTTAAGAGTACTTTCTACACTCAAAAGTACTTTCTACTTTCACATCAGAGACATTCATACTTGTTGCTGTGACTGCTTAAACCAAATAAAGAGTTACCATAGTTACCACATTTTAGACCAAATGTTATTGAATATTTTACATCACTCAGAGCTAGTGGTTTCAATAGTTTGCTAAGATTACCATTATGCTTTGAAACATCTTCAACTAAAGCCAAAACCAATGATCTTTTTACCCTAGAATCATCAAGACTTTCTGAAGTTGTATGTTTACATAGTGAATCAAAAACATTTATAACGCTTTTAAGAAAACCCTGTCCACCATCAATGGAAATCCTAGCAATAATGCAATAAGGATTCAAACCTCTTTCATTAATCATACAAAGAATTAAATCAGAAGTATTTTTTACTGTGACTTCATCCTCTGAAATGAATGATTCAGTTTTAAAATCTGAAAATACGTTATGCAGCTCCTCTATCTGAGTTGAAATATTAGGTTCTAACATTTTCTTCCCTTAATTTTGTTGCTTATGTTTAAAAAAGTAGCTAAGTCTTTCTTTTACTCAGGTTTAGAGTATTAGAGATTTCCATTATAGCTTCTAAAGATAACTTTTTAATGGATGCTCTGCTACATTTATTATCAGGTGTGCCAACAACAACAAGAAGATAGTTTCCAAAGCTTTTTAAAGGAAACTTGTCTGCAATAACTTTTTCAAGAAAGTTCATTTGTGTACCAAAGAAAAAGGAAAAAGATTTGAAACCCATTAACCTTTTGTATTTAATATAAATGTAACTTTCAGAAAAATATGGTTTTTTATAAATCAAAAGAGTGCTCTAGTTTTGGGAACACCAAAAAAATGGGGCATTTGTAAATTCCCACAATGTACACTACTGACAGCAACTTCAAAATTTATAAGAACTGAGAAAATATCTAGCCAAACAAAATTTTGATAAATATTGTTATTTATGAAACCCTATTGATAGATAAGTGTAATAAAATTTCTATTTTTACAATTTCCTTTTTGGCCTAAGACCAAAAAAAGTTATAAAAAAAAAAAAATTAACTTGTAAAAAAAAAATTCACTGTCTAAAACTAAGAAATTTCAGTGAAACATGAAAAACTTACAACAGAACTCTTCTGTTCTTGATACAATTCGTAAGATTCTAATTGAGTACCTGATAATGGTTTTTTGTAACCATCGCCACGAGTTAAAGTAAGATTTTTTAACTAAAAAAGAGAAAGAAACCTATTGAAAAAACCAATAACAAGAGTAATAATAATAATAATAATACAAAAAATAGGATAAACTAAAATGTGAAACCTAACCGTAATGGAGCTATTTTCATTAACAGGTTTGTTTGGCATGTTATCAAGACTTAAGTTTTTTTCTCTACAAAACTCTTCAATTTCTTTTATAAAAGCATCACCAATTCTTTGACATAAATGCTCAGATATCCCATCAATTGTTAGCAAAGAAGATTTACAACTTGGTCTGGAAAAAAAAATAAATAAATAAATAAAATAAAAAATTATATATCTAAGACATTTTTTAAAAGATGTTAACTGGTTTGATTCTTTTTAAAATTGTTGATTGGTTTGAAATCAGTTTTCAAATTAAAGTAATGATTAAAAATATTTTATAGAAATATTTAAAATAACAAACAGTATGTGCAAGAAGTAACAAACAATAAAATTTAGAATCAATTTTAGAAACTGAAGAAAACAAGTTTTAGAAACTGAAGAAAACAGCTTTAAAAGAATTATACTTTATAATTAATATAATAAATAGGGGTTATTGCACTTAAAAGAGTACAATAAAAAGTATAAAATAAATATATTCCATGCAGCAGAGTATGTTGTAGCTGTTAAAGTAAAATACCTAAATTTTATAATGTCCTGCAAGTTCTTATTTGTAGCAATCATATATGGTGCAATATCTAATTTATTTGCAAGTTGACGTCTAATATTAAGCAGCCGCCCATGCAATTCATTCTAAAATTAGGAAAAAAATTAAAAATAGTTAACACATACTTTTTGTAGATAATTCAAAATAAAAGACATTTTTAAAAGTAACTAAAAAATATTGTGATTGAAAAAAAGATCTTAAATAAAAATTATAAAACTCATAAAATAAGTTTGTTATAATCTTCTTTATTATTTACTAAAAAAAAGAATAACTTTGTGAATGACAAAAAGAAAATTTTCTTTTTGTACCAAAAGCATTGAAACAGACTTGGTCTATTGCATTATATTTAAAATAATTTCTACTAAGTGCAACATTTCCTCCTCAACAATTTTGAAAAGATTTTAATTTTAAGCAATAAAAAAAATGCAGTATAAATGAAACTACATAAAGTATTCAAGATAATTTATGCGTAATATTTAAAATATAATTTCAAGTTTGATTGCGCCTTTTGAATAAATTTCACGAATAAAATTTTGAAAGAGTGAACAAGGTCTTATTAAAACTCAGATTTAAATTTTGTAGTCGTGAAAAATATCTTAATACAAAACAAACAAAGAAACTATACAAGTCTGGGAGTTTTTTATCTATGTTATTTGTCTGGCTTCTGAAAAAAATCATTTATTATGTTTGGCAAAAAGTATATGAACTCTAATTGTGCAACTAAGTATGGATAGATTTTCATTTTCTGCTTAAACATATTTTCTCCTTTGATTGTAACATTAGAAATATTTTAATTAAATATTAGTTATATCCCTAATATATATATATATATATATATATATATATATATATATATATATATATATATATATATATATATATATATATATATATATATATATATATATATATATATATATATATATATACATATATGTATTCACATACATTGAAAGAAAATACTTCCTCATACATCAAAAGATTCATTGTTTTCCACAGTTTTGTTGTCATCAAATTTAAGTTTTGTCAATAATTTAAGTAAAGATTCACAGTCTCCAGAGAATGGTGTTTCCACGGGAGTAGTTGGAAGAGTTCTAGAATTTAAAGATATTTTTTTAACAACAACTGTTTTGTAACAATTTTACTTTAATATAAATTTAACTAAAATTAAAACTACCAATATAATCTCCATTAATGTAATCAGAAAAACACTAATATCTAAAGTAGTGGACTAAATTACGAAGAAATTTTAATGAAACAATTAAATTGCCAACAAAATTTAGTATAGCAAATTCTTTTTTTGTCCAACCATAATACTTAAAATACTTCTATTTTATACTAATCATCAAATAGTAGAATTGTTAGTTTATTTCAACTTAAAAATTATTTTACTTTTTTTTAATACTTTAATATTTATATATATTTAATTTTTAAATATTTAGATTAAATCTAGTAAATTGTTGGAATCAATCTAATAAATAAATTGCTTTTACTAAATAATAACAAAATAAATAACTTTAGTTCAAAAATCTGCAAAATTTTTAGGCCAATAAAACATTTATGGGCAATTCTGCGAGAGTGACAATCGTAACATTTGACAATTTTTAAGCTATTAAAAATGAAACGAAAATGGAAATAACATGAAACTTTCCAGAAATGTGAAATACTTTTATATAATTTAGTATGCAAAAGTTAAAGCATTAAAATCTTCAACTTTTTTCAAAAATTAATTCTACCTAGCGTGACTGTCGTAATGTTTACTTTTCAACACTTTTGAACAAAATAACTTTGTCAGACTTAATGCGGTGAATGACACGGTAAAAAAAAAAAATCATTTAGAGTGTGTGTTTAGCACATATTGATGTTATTATAAAATGATTTTTAAACTTTAAGTTTTACAAGCATTTTTATGTTTTTTTTGTTGTGACAGTCATAACCATGATGGTCGTAACAAAAAATCCATACTTAAAAACAACAAATAAAATGATGCAATTAATGATGTAAGAAAAAAAGCATGAATGATTATTAAAAAACATGTATATAATGTTAAAAAAATGCACTATTTTATTATTAAAGTTCTCAATTATGGATATACGATACAATTTTTAACTCAACACAAAAGGACTGTAAATAAGTGTAAAAACAGGTTTATGCAAACCTTACAACTTTAAAATCATTCTACGGTATGATAAAATGATTTTTTTTTAAAACTATTTTGCTTATAAGTATTTTTAAATTGTTAAAAAAAAAGTTATGGAGTATGTGTATTAATATCTTTTTTGGTTTTAATTTTTCCTCATTCTTGAGGAATCACCCATATATATATATATATATATATATATATATATATATATATATATATATATATATATATATATATATATATATATATATGTATATATGGGTCCATAAATTACGTCACGCTTAGGGGAAGGGGTAGATTTTGGGGATTAGGGGAGGGAGGAGGCGATTTTGAGATGATTTATTACGAGGGGAAGGAGGGTCTCGATTTTGTGACGCAACATTTTTTTTTTTTTTTAGAAAAGATGTTTTTTTAATTAAAAGAGTATCTGACCAAACCAAAACCCTCAGTTGACGTATCTACATGTTGATTGTAAAATTAACTATGCCTAAATCTTACTTAGTAGATGTGTACACTCTGTTACAGCCTGTTATGGCTGTTTGTGCAGTGCATGTTTCTCCGCTTCAAAAAATGTCAAAAACTGCGAGATGTAATTTATGGACAACCCCTATATATATATATATATATATATATATATATATATATATATATATATATATATATATATATATATATATATATATATATATATATATATATATATATATATATATATATATATATATATATATATATATATATATATATATATATATATATATATATATATATATATATATATATATATATATATATATATATATATATATATATATATATATATATATATATATATATATATATATATATATATATATACATATATACATATATATATATGTATACTTGTAGATCCTGCTTCCTTTGCAGTAAAGTGATTTCTTTTTTGATTACATAAGTATAAAAGTTATGGCGTCCATAATTATGTTTTGACATACTGAGCATGATGTAGACTGATACCTTTTTTTGACATTTTTGAGTCCACATTCATTAAATTTCAATTCACTCAAACTTTTTTTTTTCCAATTTTTAAGGTTATATTTTTAACATTTTATTTTTTATTTTAATTATTGTTTATAACATTTTTAACTTTTTGTGGTCAATAATTTTGTCAGATTGATTCAGTGGTGTGCTGAACTCAGAGGTTATGCAGGATTCCTGCACCTTTAGCCATATATCTTTAAAGGGCCTTTAGAAAAAATTTTTTTAACTATATTCTGAGAATGATCAAAAAATAAATTTCTATTTAAATTTTTTACAGTCTAATCTAAAGTGTTCAATTTTGAGCTCTAGTATATTAGTATTTTGCATAATAAAATATAACCATTATCTAACATTGCCCTCAAAACAAAGTTATCTGCAAAAAACATTTATTGTTTTTGCTACATAAATCACTATTAACATTGGTAATGAATTAAAAAAATCTTTTTAAAGGTTAAGTTATTTGTGGCAGTCAGAAAGAAATTTGCAATTTAATTAAAAGAAAAAATGGATAATTGTTTTGAAGCATGAAAAGTTTCTCCTACTGATTTTTTAGATATTAAAAAAATATTGCTAGTAAAATAAAAAGTTTTTTTTAAATAAAAACATTCCATTTTTAAAACTATTTTGTTTTAAATTTAATTATTTAATTACTATGTAATTGAAACAATGCCTTACTTAATTTGTAATTCTGACATTAAAACTTTTTCATACGGTTAAATTACTAACAAAAAGACATTATAGACAACTTTATTTTCTAAAAAGTTTTACATCTTTGAAAGAAGAAAAAAAATTTTTATCTTAATTTATAATTAATTTTAAAATCAAATTATGCTTGAATAACTTGAATAGTGAAAGTCTCCTAAACAAAAAAAAAAAAATTTGTTTTATAGTCAAAACTCCAAGTTACTACGATGTAGATATTTATTTTTAAAAAAACCGATTTTAAAGCATCAAAATTATTTAAAACGATGAAAAAAAATTTAAATCTAATATTTGTTTTTAAACTATGAAAGAAAACTTAAACCTAATAAAATCTTTTAAATGTTTTGTATAAATACAAATATCCTCTAATATCTCTTGTATAATTTTTGTTGTTCAATTTTAAAGTAACCTGTTTTTCAAGACAAAAGTTAAACACTTAAAGAAATTCTTGGTTTTTAAGTCTGGAAGCGGTATCAGGCAAATTTTTACTTATAATAAAACATGGTATACTTTAATTATAATTTCAATAAAGTATTTATAATACCTGGTTATCTATTGTTCAGTTACTTAACGTTTGAAAATATTTTTTAATAAAAAATGTAACTGCAATAATAACCGTAGCACGATAAAAATTATTATTTTAAAAATCTGCATGTATATATGATTCAAATAATTAAAAGTCCAACAAAAAAATATTAAAAAAAAAATACAATTACTTTGTTACAACTGTTATTCTTGCTGGGTCAGATTTGTCAGGAGGTAGAGCTCGTTGAATTTCATCAAGAAGATCCTTTGAAGAAAGTATATACTTACTGAAAGAACAGTCTTAACTAAATAACATTAAAAAAGATTTTTACTTTAGTCGGGTCACTTATTTTAAATTGTGGCTCTTCAGTACATAAGTTTTCTTGAAGCCATTGTTTTGCTTTAGCTATAAATGCAAAAAAATATCAAAATGTATGCACGTATATTCATTACATTGAAACTAAAGGCTAAAAAAGAATTAAAATATATCCATGTATATTCATTAGGTTGAAACTAAAGAAAAAAAAAAATGTATGCACATATATTCATTAGGTTAAAACTGAAGAAAAAAATAATAAAAATTTAAACAAAAATATATAAATAGTCAATATTAAAATTATAACTAGAAAAAAAAATAGTTTGATTTAAAACCTACTATCATAAAAACTAATAAAAGAAAATGGTTTAATTGCAAACTTGCCTGTCATACATATAGTAGAACCAAATCCAAAATCTACAGGTTTTTCTTTAAGTAATCCCATGTTTAGTATTTGATGACCTAATTAAAACCATAAGAAAGAAAATGAATATGCTCATAAATAACAATGCTAAATATAAAGCAACTTATTTTAAAGCAAAATACCTTGTTACCATGTATAATAAAATAATAATAATAGCTAAATATATGTTGCTTTATTTATTTAAATTTTTATATATAAAAATATCTTTTTATTTTTATATATAAAAATATTTTTAAATTTTTTTATATGGTAGAAATAATAAGATAATAAAATAACTAGTAATAATATATATAATATACAATTTTAAATACACTGATATATACAATTCTAATAAACCTTGATGTATACAATTCTCAAACACCCTGATGTATACAATTCTCAAGCACCCTGATGTATACAATTCTTATAAACTAACAGCAAAATGCATACCAAGTGACTTCCAATACTTTTCTGATTTATTCCTAAAAATGTATAAAACATAAACAGATATTTTTAATAATGAAAGGATTTTTATATAACAATTTTTTTCATATTTAAAAATTTTTTAAGACTAATTTTGAGCATCAAAAATAAAATAATTATATTTTAAACATGCTTTTACCGAAATGTAAACGTTTGGTATAAGTAAACAATTTGTCAGATGAAAAATTAAATAAAAGTTTATAAAAGAAATAAAGACAAACTTAATTCATTTGACATAATTGCAAAGTAAAAAAAGTCATATAAAAGTCATCTAGTGTAACAACACAACAAGTGATCCAAAATTTTAAAAAATCATTCATACTATTAATCTTGTTTTACTGCCAGCTGAAAAATGGTGTCTGTGTTCCTAATTTTAAAAAACTCTGGAGAACCCTCTGACCCCACCAACTATACTCCTATTAGTCTTCTATTATCAGCAAGGTCTTTGAGTCTTTACTCAACAAACTTCCAACAACCCATCTTGAGTCTAATAACTTACTGTCTGACAATCAACATGGTTTTTGATCTTCTTGTTGTATGACTGACTTGTTAACTGTTGTAACTGAAAGATTCTATAGAAACTTTTAGCTAAAGCAAGACAAGGGTAATTGGTCTTGACATATCATAAGCTTTCAATAAAGTTTGGCATGCTTCTCCACAAGCTTCCTTCATATGGTGTATCAGGAAAGGTTTTTGAGATTATTTTTTTCTTTTTTAACTGCAGTATTAAAGTCATACTTAAAGGACAATTTTATTTCCAGCATTCTATGGTACCTCAAAGTTTTATCTTTGGTGTATGTTTCTTATCTACACTCACAATCTTCCTCATATCTAAGTGGCTTTATTTGCTGACATAACAACTTTATGCTGCTGTCTTGACAAAAAATGTTCTCTTTTCGAACACTTAGAATAATCTTGAATCTGATCTCACTTCTGTAACAGCTTGGGGTTGCAGTGGCTTGTGAGTTTGAACTCCAACAAACCTCAGTTATTTATTGCAGCCAACTATCTCAGTATTGTTAACATTCCTATATTGATGAATGGCAACCCTTTCACTGAGTCCTCTTCTTTGTGTCTTCTTGGAGTATCATTTACTACTGACCTCTCATGGAAAACAAATATACAATCAATTGCAAAGTTTGCATTTGCTATAGTTGCTCTTTTTATTGTACTCACTTACTCCTGATTCCATTCTCTACATTTACAAACCTTCGACTCTTACCACGTCCCTGGAAGTACCGCGCTCAACTTAATTTCTCCGCGCAGCAGCCTTCGTGTTTTGGAGTTGAAGAGTTGAGAGAGGGTTGTACCACAATTTACAACAAAAAAAAAAAAAAAAAAAAAAAAATGAGTAGCCTCCTTGACTGTAGTGGCCCCCTCGGACCTTGGGGAGGTAAATAATTATAAAAAAAAAAAAAAAAAAAAAAAAACCCTATTATTCATCCCTATATGGAATATTGTTGTCATATTTAGGCTGGTTCTTCTAATGACGTTCTTTTTCTCCTAGACAAGGTCCAAAAACGCATTGTAAACCATTGTCATAAGGTTGCATCTCATTTTTCATTTTTTTACAAATACTATAATGGTTGCTGCTCAAAGGAGCTATCATCTCTAATTCTATCTACTAAAACTCATTCTCACTTGACTCATCATTAAGCAAAGTCACATCATTATACTACATCTGTCCTTTCATGCTTTAAAATTTTAAAAATGTCATTTAGTTTTTTCCCCTGCACTATAATGTATTGAAACTCTCTCCCATCTTTATGTTTCTGATTCATACAACCTTCAACCTTTCATGTCTTCTGCAACCATTTCCTTGCTCTTTAACACTAATTTTTGTTTTCTAGTAACTCCCAACTTAATAGTAGTTGCTTGCAGTCTTGGCAGGGGTGAATTAGTATTAAAAAAAAATATAATAACTATTAATTATTAGACAACTTAATTTTATTCATATCTATTTTTATTATAGTTTTTCACATAATTTATTTCAAAATAAATTATATATACAATAACAAATTATCAATAAAAAAAAAATCAAAAGCAACAAAAATAAACATCTAAACTAGTAAAATATTTTTTTTACAAAATCTTTTTTGCATTGATTTAAACAGATTTTGCAAATTTTGGTTGTAAACCTGCACTAAATGATTCTTTAAGCTATTTATACATCTTTGAACCTCAAGTAATTCTTTGTCCTTCCTAGTCCATTTGATTGCGTCTTTAGTTTTACATTTTTTAAATTTAAATCTTTCAGCTAGAACTTTGCTTTTTCTATTTTTTACTTTAAACTTTTATTTTAAAGTTACTTTGATCACTAAAAATTACTTGCTTCCGCTTTATTACTACCAAATTCTCTTACACCACCTTAATCTTGTAAACTGATCTCTGACTGTCAAATGGCTTTTCTGACAAAATACAATTTTTTTAATATAGAAACACACTTCTTTAATGACACACATTCCCTGATCTCTTCCTTGGATTCCCTGATACAAAAATATATTTGTTAAACACGCTCAAACAGGACACACATTTGATAATTGCAAGTAAAATCTTGTACAATATATTTAAATTAAATTAATCATTTTATTTAACTTTTAAATGTTATGCATATGATATTTCAAAACAAAACAACAACAAAAAAAAAAAATTTTCTAGAAATTACTTTCCAGCTCCATGTTCTTTCAATTTAGAAAATTTTGCTGGTAATTTTTGGCTAAGCTGAAAATAAAAGACAAACAAGAAAAACATAAATATATTTGGTATTAACTAACTTTGCATCAAATTAACTTAAAATTAACTTGGAAAAAAATTGTTAATTTACTTAAAAATTAAATTACTTATAAAGTTTATAAACAAAAATTTATAATAAAATAAAATAATAAAATTCAGTATAATTAGTTTATACTTAAAATAAGTTTATGACATGCTTTTTTACTATGCTTTCTTTTTTACCTAAAAAAACATTTAATACCGATCCTCGAATAAGTAATATTGGAACATTCAAGCCATACATTCCATCTCCAGTCACCTAAAATAAGATTATTACATTTAAAAACTCTTTGTGTTAATTAAACAACTCTACCCCAGTTTTTCAATATCTAATAATAAAGTAATTATAAAATAACCTAGCTAACTAATCCAATTAACTCATTAACTAATGAATTATTATATATATTTAAAATATTTATGCATCAAGCATAATAATGCAGACATCAAACACTAATAAAACAAACTTCATATTTAATCTATAAAGGAACATTATTGCAACTGATGAAAATAATAAAAAATTATTTACAAACAAAATTTTATCTTAAACAAATAAAGAGAAATTGCACAACAATAATTCTTAACTAATATAAAATTAATTTAACAAAAGAAAAATTATTTACACCAATACTGATATACGGATGACTTAGCACCAAACAAGTTTATACAACAAATATGTTGAAATAAGAACGCAAAGTTTAAAAATTTTTAACAAAGTTTAAAAATTTTTAACAAAGTTTAAAAATTTTTAACAAAGTTTAAAAATTTTTTAACCAAACAAACTAAACTTCTGTTTAGTGCACTTAAAACTTTTAAGTATAACTTATTGGTGTTTTTAAAGAACCACTACATAAATCATTTTTTAATATATATTGATTTTTTTTTCAACTGGTTTATAGGCTGATTTGACGCTTAACTATCCATAATATAACCCTCTTACTTATTATTTTAATTAATATTATAATAAATAACTTTTTGATGATTTATACAACCTTTTTAATAACTATGATAAGTTTTATAACAATAATTGTAGACCACCTATAAATATAACAATTAAATAGAACAATAAATAAAAAATATAACACATATAAATTAAAATATGCATAAGTGACTAAAACATATTAAAAATTTTTATGAAAAAAATGAAATGTTTCATAACAACATTTATAAACTTTTTTTACAATAAAGCTTTGTAAAATAAACTATTTACTTGAATTGCTTTTAACAAAATCTTAACATCAACTCCAACATTTACATCTGTTGCACCTTTAAGAATTTTTGATGTAAAACAATTTGGATTGAGAATTCTAAATACAAATAAAAGATAACAAAAATAGAACATATATATATATATATATATATATATATATATATATATATATATATATATTTATATATATATATATATATATATATATATATATATATATACAGCCCTCAGAATTAGAAAAAATGTATATATATATATATATATATATATATATATATATATATATATATATATATATATATATATATATATATATATATATATATATATATATATATATATATATATATATACATATATATTTTTTTTTTTTTTAACATCTTCACTTCCAACAAGGCTGCAAGCAACCACTATAAGAGTTGGAAGTTACTGGAAGAGAAAAGACTAAATCTGTAGAGCAAGATAACGATTGACTGATGACTTAAAAGATTGCAAATTATATGAATCAGGAAAGCAAGATGAAGGAAGCGAATTCCAAAGAACTGATGTTCGAGGAAAAAAACTAGAAGAATAAGAGTTTTTGAAGCACTTAGGAACAGTCACAGAAAAAGGATGAGACTTAATTGAATGGCGAGTAACACGAGAATGAATTTTAGTAGATGGCACAAGGGACGCTAGCTCTTTAGAGCAGTGCCCATTATAGTATTTGTAGAAAAGAGAAAGAGAGGCAACATTACGACGATGTGACAAAGGTTGGAGATTGGCTGCCAGAGCAGGTCCAACTATGTTTACAATTCGTTTTTGCACCTTGTCTAAAAGAGAAAGAGCATCATTAGAAGATCCGCCCCAGATGTGGCAACAGTATTCCATACAGGGACGGATTTGAGATTTATAGAGATAGAGAATAGAATCTGGAGTAAGAAAGTGTCGAGCTCGATAAAGAGATGCAACCTTAGTAGATGCTAATTTTGCAATGGATTTGATATACGGTTTAAAAGAAAGATCAGAAGTAAGAGTTAATCCTAGAAGATGAATGGTAGATGACTCATCTAGTACATTACCATTCATAAATATAGGAAGAATATATATATATATATATATATATATATATATATATATATATATATATATATATATATATATATATATATATATATATATATATATATATATATATATATATATATATATATATATATATATATATATATATATATATATATATATATATATATATATATACAGCCCTCAGAATTAGAAAAAATGTGTTTGACAATTATTTGCCGACCTTAATCTGCTTAAGATGGGCATCAGGTCAGCAAAAAAATTTTATTCAATAGTTTTACAATAAAACATAGAAACGAGATTGGCAACTTTTTGCTGACCTTAAACACTTTTAGGTTGGCAAATTATCTAATTCCAACGGCTGTATGTATGTATGTATGTATATATGAGTGTGTGTGTATATATATATATATATATATATATATATATATATATATATATATATATATATATATATATATATATATATATATATATATGTATATATATATATATATATGTATATATATATATATATATATATATATATAATTATATATTAGGATGTCCCAAAAAACAACTTTTTTGAAAAATTTATGCTGGCACCCCCTAATGTGTTCTATATGATAAAAAAAACACTGGTTTTAAAATTTTTTTGAATTATATAAATACTTTTAGGGTCCCCAAGACCTTTAAACATAACGGGTGGTTACTAAAAATCCGGACAAACTTTTAAGTGCAATTACTCCCAAAGTTTTTATGGTGGAGATTAAATAAAACTATCATTAAAAAGAGTTTTTAGTTATTTATTTATTTTAATTAAGTTTGTCTTCAACCAGTCTGTTTCTTCGGATTCGGCCAACTCTAACACGAGTTGACCCAAAAAGTGAAAATACAAGGTTAAGGTCAATTTTTTTCAGGCAAAGCTTTATTCTGGTTCGTAGTTATTTCACGTCTTTTGCTTGCCAGTTACTCTCATACACTTTGCCTTTCAAAATAGCCCAAAAGTCTTCGATTGGGCGACACTCCGGTACGGCTTGCGGATTGTCAACTTTTTTGATAAAATTGATGTTATGAGTCTCGTAGCAGCTGGTCACGGTTTTGGCATAATGAGATGAAGCCAGGTCCGGCCAAAATATGTAATTACCATCGGCATGATAAGCGTTGATGAACGGCACTAATCTTTTCCTAATACAATTCATTTCATAGATGGCTTTATTGACTGCAAGGCCGTTGGGTATAAAAAATGGTTTTGAAACACCTTTGTCAGAAGCGGCCAGCCAGACAAGCACCTTGGGTTCGAACTTGCACTTTTTGCGATATTTAACACTTGGTGGAGTCTTGTCTCTGTTGCTAGAGTAGTAGGTGCTGTTTCCATTAATTGTTGAGTGTGACAGTGTGAAGTAAGACTCATCGTCAAGGATGACCGATTTTCCTTTAAAAACGCGATAAAGACGATCAATGCCAGTTTTGATTCGCTCATTCTGGTTCTCTTGTCGATAAGGTATACCCTGTTTTGTATAACTTTTGATGTCAGTGTACTTGGCAAGAGTTTTAATGATATGTGAATGACTGCATCCAAATTTTCGACCAGCTTGCCTCATCGAAATTCGGTCACTGTGATCAAATATGGCTTTCAGGCGCTTGATCCTCTTAGGGGTCAGGATTTTGGCCACACGACCACTTCCTTGCACTCTTTTGTGCCCAGAATCATTCTCAACACGTTTGATTATATCATAGATAGTGCTTCTTGGGATTTTTTCAGCATTGAAGTGAGCTACTGTGAACTTTTTACCTTGCAATTTATTATTCAAATAGAACTCGTAAATCCGTTTTCTTACCTCTTCTTGCTTGGTCATCATTATTTTTTTAATTATTATTAATTATCTAAAAAAAAAAAAATTAACTTATAGAGAATTAAATAAGCTATAAAATGGATATAAACATGAATAAAAAAGATTTAGCTTGTGGCATTTAAAATTCAGTTAAAGTTTGTCCGGATTTTTAGTAACCACCCGTTATAACAAATTCCAGAAAGTATTAAAAAAAAAAAATTCTTTAAAAGTGTATCATTTTGGGTCTCAAATGAAGCAAAATTATATAAAAATTTTAAAAATGATAAACATATTATATAAAAACAAATATGTTAGACTTTAAATTGAAGTTTATTAACTAAAAAAAAACAACATCTTAACATGCTTTTTTTTACAATATTTTTTAAAAATGAAGTTTTTTATCATATAAATATCATTTTTAAAATTTTCAAATGATCCATTTTAGACCCATAATTATACGCTTTTGAAGAACCTTTTCTGATAATATTAGGAACTTATTAAATGATCATGGGTTTAAGGGGATCCCTAAAAATATTTATTCAAAAATTGTTCAAATCCAATGTTTTTTTATCATATAGTTCACATTGAGGGGGTGGCAGCATATATTTTTCAAAAATGTTGTTTTTAGGACACCCTAATACATATATATATATATATATATATATATATATATATATATATATATATATATATATATATATATATATATATATATATATATATATATATATATATATATATATATATATATATATATATATATATATATATATATATATATATATATATATATATATATATATATATAGATAGATAGATAGATAGATAGATATACACAATTTAATTCAATACTCTTCAGAATCTTGGATTACAAAAATGATTAAAATGATTTTTGTGAAATTATTTAATTAATCTGACATAAATTTAGTACCTATTGCGGCAGTTGTCACAACAGTCTTTATGTCCTCCAGAATTTTTGATTGATGGATCAAAATGTGCAAGAATGGCATCTCTTCTACAAGAAGAAGTCATTAGATATTGCTCCATTTTTGTGATCATTTCATTTTTATACTCTTTAAATTTTGGATCAGTAACCTCTGCCAAAAAATACCTAAATTATTAAATTTTAGAGAGAGAAAAAAAAATTCTTTATAATAAAATATTTATGACTAATAACTAAAAAATGATTTTTAAAGTTAACCTTGTTATCCTGTGATTTTTGAATAAGGGAATCAAAGTTTTTAAACAACTTGATTTTTTTTATTTCATTTTTATATACTGGATTTTTTTATTTTATTTTTATGTACTGGATTTTTTATTTGAGCTAAACAAATTTACTAGAATTACTTGACAGACAAATTATTATACAGCTAATTGATGTTTTGTATACAACTTTCGAAAGGCTTTTGACAGAGTGTCGCACGTAAAACTATGTGCTAAGGATTATGTTTCCGATATTGTTGGTATTCCTCTTAGATGGATTGAATCGTTTTTATCTAATAGGAAACAACAAGTAGTGATGGGAAAATGCAAGGCAAATTGGGTTGATATGTTAAGTGGAGTACCACAGGGTTCTCTACTTAGCCCACTCCTTTTCTTGATATTCTTAAACAATTTACCAAGCAGACTTCTTGATAAATGTTGTTTGTATGCCGATGACAATAAAATAATTGCTCCTGTTTATACCGAGGTTGATTCAATATCATTTCAAAATGACATAAAAAAACTTGATGAATGGTCTGTTGAGTGGAAACCGGGTTTGAATTTTGAGAAATGTAAAACAATGCATTTTAGTGAAAGTAATAAAAGATATTCTTATTTCATGAATAATGATGGCGAACTAAAAGAAAAATCTACTCTCAAAAATGATTTAGGTATTTGTATATCAAGGATTTAAAATGGGATAAACAAGTATAGAATGCTGCCAGTAAAGCAAACAATATGCTTGCAATACTTAATACTTTAAAGTATAAAGATAAATACCTCAAAAAAATGCTTTATTGAATGTACGTTAGACCTCTTAAAGAGCCACTAAATTAATACCATAATTAAGACATCTGGGTTATAATTAAAGACTCAAAATACTAGATTTCACAAGTTTTAGAGGTGACTTTATACAACAATATAAGTTATATAAATGTTTTGAATCTATTGATATGAAGAAAGTCCAGATACAAATGCATTCAATCAATACATCAGTGCAGCATCTAATATTAGAGGTTACAATTGTGTTAAATCAGATTTTGTTAAAATTTTTTTAAGTAGACAACACTTCTTTATAAACAGGATTGTCTTTGGATAGAATAGTTTGAATCGGAATTGGTAGTGGAGTTTACATTTTTCAAAAAATCCAACCTTAAACTGATTGACAAATAATATTAAACAAGAAAAACAAATTACAATTAAATTTTTAAACGATTGTTGTATTTGCTGTCATAAATATTGCCTAGCGCTATATTTCAACAGTATTTGAATTATATATTATATTAAATTTTATATTTATGTACTGTATTTTTTATTTTATTTTTATGTCCTAAACTTTTTTTGTTTTATTTTTATGTTCTGTATTATTTTTTTGTTTTTTTGTCTTATTTTTATGTACTAGATTATAGGTTGATCATGATGATTCTAACATTATTAGAATCATCAAGCTTAAAACATTATTTTTTGTAACATTATTAGAATCATCAAGCTTAAAACATTATTCTTTGGGCTATAAAAATACTAAAACAAAATCATTAAAATATATAATACCAAATAGTCAAACATTTACAAAGACATTTTTAATAGAAAAGATGCTTTTATTTTTTATTGTTGATCATCATAAGAGTGGCTAATGGAAAAAAGTTTTTTTGTCCTATTTGCACAATTTAAAAACCCTTCAACATAGCATCTTGCATTTTTTTATTTTTTATCATTGCTCTTGATTTTAACGAGTAGTTGTTCTTAACTTAACTTAAGCTTTTAGTTTTCTTTTGAGCTTTATGCTTATACTTATTCATAATTTGTCAAACAAAATTTAAAATAAAAAGACTTTTCTAGTGTTAGAATTAAATGAAAAAAAAAGTATAACATAAGGTTTCTAAAATATATCATTAAATTTTAAATTAAAAACATTAAACAGCATAAATGTAATAATCCTAACCTATTAATTGCAAAGTCAGCGCAATTATAAAATGCATAACAAAAGCTAGGTTGCCCATCTCTCCCTGCTCTTCCAATCTCTTGATAATATGACTCTATATCCCGTGGTGCACCATAATGTATTACCATCCTAATATCAGGTTTGTCAATACCCATGCCAAATGCCACTGTTGCTACAATACACTATATAAAAAATTTGAACTTTAATAAATACAACTCTTTTATTTTTAAGTGACAAACTTCACACAAAAAAAGTGTTTAAACTTACATCTAGCTCATCTCTAATAAATTTATTATGTGTTTTTTTTCTTTGAGGAAGTGTTAATCCAGCATGGTAAGGTTCACATGTGAGTCCAAATCCAATTAATGTATTAGCTATTTCTTCAACTTTTTTTTTTGTTGGACAATAAACTATTGTGGTACCACAAAACCTGTATTTTCTTACTCCGTTGAGATTTTCTTCTATCATTAAACTGGTTAAATCATGATGTGCACTCACTTTATTTCTTACCTCTAAGTACAAATTCTTTCTGTCAAAACCAGTGCATCTGATAATAGCTTTCCGCATTAATAAATTATTACAAATATCATTACGCACAAGGGGTGTAGCCGTGGCAGTTAAAGCAATGATTGGAACAGATGGGATGAGTTTTCTTATTAAATGTAACTTTCGATAAGACAGCCTAAAGTCATGCCCCCATTGTGAAACACAGTGGGCTTCATCTATTGCTACTAATGTTAAACCAAGCTTCTTATCAAGGTCTTTTAAAAATGATTCTGAATTAGTTATATACTCTGGTGTGACATAAACTAACCGATAATAACCATCAAAAACTTTGCTTAGAACCTTCGAGTCAGTTTGTGCACTTCCCAAATAACAAGCATTTATATTAGCAACACTAAATTTTTAAAAAAAAACCTTTTTAACACAAAAGTTAAGATTTTTTAAAATAGAAGTACTTACCACATAAATAAAAGTAAAATTAGTCAAAATATTTTTTTAGAAACTTGTTTTCTTATAGCTGAGTGATTTTATGTTTATAAAGATAAAGTTTACTAATATGTTTAAGATCAGTTAGTTACTATTACATGGTGGCCACAAAATTTTAAAAGTTTAATTCCTAGACATTTTCAGGACATTCCAGGACATTTTATTGCGTTTTCCAGGACACTTTATATCTTATTAAATGAATATTATCAATTATTTTTACGTTATATTTTTTTCATATTGATTGAATTATAGAATAGAATATTATATTATCATATTATTATACAATAGAATATTATATTATTATATAATTATTACTCTCTTATTTAAAATTAATTTCAAACCATTTATATAAAAAATTTTTTCGCATAAAAAATTTAAAATTACTTTAATATTATTAGTAATTTTTTAACTTGACTCAGAAAAAAAAAAGTTCCAGGACATTTCAGGACATTTTTGAAAAAAATGTAATTTTCCAGGACATTTCAGGACATTCCAGGACACTTGCAAAAATCCAGGACATTCCAGGACATTCCAGGACTGTGGCCACCATGTATTAGTTACTGCTCAAAAACAATAAATGTTATGCTAATAAAAAGGATATATTTTTCAAATATTTTTTGGATTATAAGAAAGATGACAGATTTAATAATTTAAAACTACAATGCAAGTTAATATAAAGACTTTTCTAATCTTTATAATAATAACATATTATAATTATTACCAAAAATAAAAGGTGCAATACTGGAAAAAAAGAAGCCTACTAGCAATATTTTTTTATAAAGTTTTACAAAAAGGTGTAATATATATAAAGCTCACTTTTACATTAAAAAAATAATTTGTTGTTGATAAAGTATTGTACTTCTTGTTTTTAGTACTTCTGTCAAGTTTATGTTATCAGTACAAAGAAATATTAATTTTAGAATAATTTCCTAAACCTAATTTCTTGTGGAATCATCTTAATTTTTTAAAAAACATTTCATCCATAAGTCTCATACTTTGATGATTTTTACACCACTTTAAAATTTTTTTATAAACTTTGACTATTCCCAAAATTCCAACCTATAAATATTTTTACTTTTGCCTTAAAATATTTATTTCTCTTTTGTATTTTTGTTAAAATGTTTGTTTTTCAACTTGTTTATCTGCACAGCAGCCTTGTTTGTCAAGGTTTGTGTTTTGGAGAGTTGTAACAACAATAAAGTAGCCTCCTCGACTGTAGTGGCCTTTCGATCTTGGGAAGGTGAATAACATTTTATAAAAAGACTAATTCTATATAGAAATATAATTTGTAAATACTTTTAGATATTTTGAATCGAATCCATAAAATCGAATAAACATAAAACCTGAAATTCAACCATTTATCATCATTTCATTAACTAAACTGAAATACAAAAATACTTATGGAATAGATTTTTTTTGTTTTGAATAGTTGTACAGAATAATTTAAAGTTTTACAAAAACTTGTGGTCTTTTCTAAAACAGAAACAAAATGTGGTACCTACCTAAATATATTACTTATAAAACACAAATTTTATTTTTATTAAACTCATCAAATAAACTATAAGAAAAATTAAGTACTTGTAAGAAAAACCTTTCAATACATTAAGAACTCAAGAAACAAAAATAATATGAAAATCAAAAATTTTTTAAACTCAACAAACTAAAATGTATTAGTTATAGTAATATAATTATTAATTTTGATGTTTTATTTTATTTGGCCTTTTATTATAATTATTATTATTATTTATTTATTTATTAAAAAATACATTATTGCAACACTGATACACGTATGTTCATATACGGCAAATTATTCTATAAACTACATATAAGGGGGAAGGTCGGGTCGGAGGTTTTTTTCATTGAGACTATGATTAAAAATTACAATTCCATTTATTTAAAAAAACAACAATTGTTAAAACTAATGTTCAAATTGCAATCAGCTATCATGACGATCATGATCTTTAGCTACCTAAACTAGAGTGTGTTAATTTTTTTTTTTTTCAAATATCAAAAAAGAGTAGTAAAAAAAAGTAATTTTATGATTAGTTAAGAACAGAGAAATTTTAAAAATTAAATTTCATTAAGCGTGGTAAATTTTGATATGAATTTTAACACTTTTAATCATTTTAACGTTTATTATCGTTTTTTTAAGTGGACTAATAATTGTTTTTGTATCTATTATCATGATGTACAACGTTCTTAAAAAACTATAGTGCTTAAATAGTGAAAATTAAAAATGTATATTTATATTAAGTAAGCGCTGGTGTTACCTAACAGTCATTTTTACAAGGATTACCCCCCCCCCCCTTCCTCCAAAAAAAAAACCTAGGTGTAAGGGCTTCAAATTAAAAAAACTTTCTACAATTAGGCATTACTAAATTACTTCTTTAATTTGAAAAAGGGCCCCTAAAATATCCCCTATTACCAAATACCATAGGGCGTACCCCCTTCCCCATTAGGTGGTTTGAGCTAGACTAGCCACGACCCTGTTACAAAGTAAGCACTTTTCTTTACAAAGTAAGCATTTTTCATTGTTCTTGTTCTCACCCGTGAATAGAATATAAAAAACTAACCCTGTCAACAATTCCAACTATTAAAAGTCTTAAAGATACAAGTTTTTAACTAAGATATCATTTTTTAGTTTTTAGCTACTCCACCTGCATTTTAACAAGGGTTGACATATCTTTTTTGCTTTTATTTTTTGACATTAAATATCTACTTGCAAGCTGAGCACGTATATAAGATTCTCGTATATAAGTATATAAGATTCTCGTATATAAGTATATAAGCCTGCAGCTTCAGTTACCATTTTGACGTATCTTTCAACTGACTGTGTATGAGAAGTCCAAGAAGGAACTTCCATAGGATTTACAAGTTTACAAACTCTTTGATGTTGGCAGATGTAAGCGTGCAGGTAAGTGGTGGCTCAGTTACATTCAAGTCCCATGTTATAAGGTCTCCTAGTTGATCAGCATTAGGATTTATTTCTGGTGTTTTTCTTACTCTGATACTACTATCTCTAACTGGAGTTACATTATCTCCTTCTCCTCGAATCTTAAGAATCTTAGCTTCTTTTCTTTCTGTATTTTTGCTGTAAAGCATGGCTTGTAAAATGCCTTCAGAATATGCATACCACACTGATTGCCTAATTGTTGGCATAACAATATCTAAAATATTTTTATTATGTGTTCTAAGAAGCTCTAGTTGATACAAAACAAGTCTAGGTCTCTCTATCCAATTTGATTTCACTTTAATGTTAAACAAGTTAGATAGTAAACACTAACAATAAAATTTACTATCATTTGTAAACTTTCTAGAATTTCACCAGTAAACCCATAATTTGACACTTAAATTCTGCAAAATCGAAGTGATATTGTTAGCCATCTACTGTGCCAGACTGGTCCAATTTCCAGCATTGCTAACCTGCTAGACAGAACTCTATTCTTTATTGCTTGGCGAATTTGATAGGCATAACTTTGGTCAGTGCTTAAATCTTTAATTATCTCCTGACTGAGATATATTAAAGGAGGACCTAAATTTATTGTAGTGAAGTTTTAATTGATTTCAATTTCAGTTGCTGTGTAAAGCATTTTCCCAAGTGGTCATGACGATTTATTATAAGAAAGTGTTGCGCCATCTAAATTTTTAATTAAATCCCTTAAACCTAACTCACCAGTGTGTAGATCACAAACAATCCAAACTAACCTTCTGTTTTTCTACCCATTGCATGACACCACCTGCCCAACCTGTATTCACATTTGTAGTATCTCTTCCAATAGCCATAAAATTTTGAATTTCATTCTTACTTTTTAACCAGTCAACCAAGTGATCTGCAATAACTTCTGTTTGTTTTTTTTATCAGCTGTTACATCTGGAATGAAATGAAAAAGACCCAGGGTCTTTTACAACAGTAATGTTCCTCTTTAATAAGACTAGGAAAATTTTTTTCATTTACCTCTATTAACATTTTTGTAGCATCTACTCTCCGATGAAGAAAAAGACATGTAACTGGGTTTTTTTCTAGGTCTACCTCAAACTGATTGTCTAATTCTTTTGCTAATTTTTCTTGAGCCCTTTTGATCTTGTTATGATCTATAATAAGATCAAAAGGGTTTCATCTGGCTTAAAATAAAAGTAATATATAAATATATATATATATTATAATAAATGTTTGTATATATTATATTGTAGTACAAGCCTCCTAATAAACCAGCTATCTTTTTTTTCTTTATCATTGCTATTTGTTTTGTTTTTTTTCAATTTTTTGGGATTCTTTTCTATCTGCACCAGTAATATGAAAAGTTCCAAAGCTTCCTATTTTAGTTCTCTGATGAATTGAAGCTCTACAATTGGTATTTTCACTTCTCTCTTACATTTGCATTTTATATGAATTTTTTCCATTCATTCTGGAGCACATTTGTACTCTGAACAAACAATTAATTTACATTTACATAGTAAAATGTCCACAAGTTTGTCTAATTTTAAAGAAAATCTTGCTTTTCCAGCTTTTTTTCCACTTCCATTACTAAAATCAACAGATGATTTCCATAAATAATTGAATTCAATAATTTAAAAAATTGTTTTTTCATGGATTACAACTGGATATACAAAAAGTGCATTTGCCTTTAACAATTGACCAAGTACAGCTGATACCATATCAGTTACTAGCTGATCTACAATATAGTTCTCATATTTTTTTCACCAATTTCTCTTAAAAGTATACCATATCATAAAATATCTCAGGCTGTGGGAAGCTCAGATACATAAAGTTCTTTCGCATTGCCTACAAGTTAGCTCATTTAAATAAATAATGCATTTCTTGTTCTATTTGACATCTTTAATAAACTTAATAAGTTTATCAGAGCTTTGCTTTTGGTCTGAATATGATTTAATAATTATCATTTATAAAGGTTATTTTAAAATGTTTTAGAAAAATTCATAAAGAATTGAAAAAATTAGCAAAAATTTAGGCTTAAAACTGTTTTAGCACCAAACTGATTATTGTATTGCTATGAATGCTTCATCAAATGGTAAGTTTTTATAAATATTTTTTTTAGAAATTTTTTAATTTAAAAATAGTTTTTTTATATTTTTGAATCAGCTTATAAAGCAGAACCGAACATTTTAAAACTATATTTTTAATTATAATCAAAATGATTACATTGTTCGCATTAGTTTTTTGTTTGCAAATTCTAACATGCCTACTTTTTGTTATATTCTTTTCTTTTCTTTTTTTTTGATTCCTTTAGTTTTACTTTCATTATTCAAAGTATTTTAATATTTTATTTAGAAGGAAAATAGTTCATAAACATGTCTACATTTTATTATTGTTATTTGATTTCTTTAGTTCTACTTTGATGCTCTACTCAATTTCATTACTTAAGTTTGTCTTCTGTTAAAACATGGATCTTATTTAGTAAATTTTTATAATTTTAAATATACTTTATGGATCACTAGCAACAGTTCAAAAAAAAACACAATTGAGGTAAGAATAACTTTGTTTTTTGGTAGTATTTCCTAATTTATGTAGTAGTTAATTGTTGTTGTAATTAGTATCCTTTATCAAATTTTCACTATTTTCAGCACTTCTATCTGATATAATTTAAAAACTAATTATGAGTGCGCAAAATCTTGCTTAAAATGGTTTGAATGTAGTACTTATGTGTTAGGGTAATTCTGTATCTTTATCAGAACCCAATTAGCTTATTTTTAATGCTATCAGACATTTTTATAATGAACAAAAAACCAAGAAATAACCAACTTTATTGACTTTCACTAAATATTCCTTAATGTACTCTAAAATTTTCTTTTAAAAATCACAAACAAAGAATGTATCATGGTCATTGTCATTAGAAAAATTTATGCTGAACATCTGGTTTAAATGTTTTGAAAATTATATATATAACAATTAAATGCAATGAAAATTTGTTTATGTTAAAAATTTCTTGTATAACATATTTTAAATTTTTTTGTATGAAATCTTTATGATTATATTCAAATATAAGTATTTTAAAACTTTTTCTAGATTACAAAAACTTTTTTTTCCTAGAAAATATATTTTGTGAGACCCATTATCTAAATTTTATCTAAATCCATGAGATTTTCTTTAATTTACTATTATTTATAATATCAAAAAAAGATGAACAAAAAAAGATGTGTGACTTTCATCAAAAAGCAACTGGGATTTTTTTAAGCTACATAATTGTCATATTGGTAGAATTTTCAAAATACCTTATTTTCGAGAAAATCAGTTTTAATCGTGTCACAATTTTAGACGTCTACCCATGAAAATTTAGTTTCATATGAAAAATTAGTTTGTTTAAAAAAAAAAAATCTTTTTTCATGTGAAAATATAATATTATTTGTATTTATATTTATCTTAATATAAAGTTTAAGTTTCATTGTTCAGTAAAATTTGTTGAACTTTATACAAAAAGACCTCTGACATTATTCTATGTAGCTACTATGGCTATTAAAAGATATTTAATTACCTTTGGCTATTTATTTAACGGTTGGCTATTTATTCAACGTTTGGCTATTTATTTAAGGAAATCATGGCAAGAGAAAACTTCATAGCACCAATGTTAAAGGAAAAAAAATTAGATAATAGTTCTTTGAGCGGTTAATAAGATAAGAATAATAGAAAATAAGAAATAACTATTATACATAATAATACATAACTATCTACAACCCCCCCCCCCCCCTTGCATATGTAAGCATTTTTTATAACAAAATGACCCCAACCTAAAATTTTCAAAACAATGAAAAAATTTTTTTTTTGCAATAAGATGCAAACAAGCTGAATGACAAATGACGAGTCACGCAAGATTTTGGTTGAATGTAAAAAAAAATTACAATATTAAAAAGCAAAAATGTTACTGAAAGCAAATTTTTTTATTAAATTCAAATTATTTTCTAGTATCATTATTATTAATTTTTTGATAGCATATTCAGGGTGGCCAGCCAAAAGCTAATTTAAAATTCCAAGATATTTCTAGGATTTTTCAAGAATAACTTCGGGTTTTTCAAGGATATATTGATCTTTTCTTGAGCAGGAAAAAACAAATTGTTGTCTTCAAAATATTTTTTATATATAAATATGTTGGAATATAGTCGTATATAGTATGGTACAAGTTAAAAAATATGTTATATTATATATATATATATATATATATATATATATATATATATATAAACATACAATATTAAATTTTTTTTTACTTGTACCATACTATATACAACTATATTGCAACATATTTATATATATATATATATAAAACATTTTAAAGATATTATTAGAATTAATTAGAATCTATCTATCTATCTATCTATCTATCTCTCTCTCTCTCTCTCTCTCTCTCTCTCTCTCTCTCTCTCTCTCTCTCTCTCTCTCTCTATATATATATATATATATATATATATATATATATATATATATATATATATATATATATATATATATATATATATATATATATGTATATATATATATGTATATATATATATATATATATATATTTATATATATATATATATATATATATATATATATATATATATATATATATATATATATATGTATATATATATATATATGTATATATATATATATATGTATATATATATTATATATATATTGCTACTAACAACTGCTTGTTAACACTAAATCCTTGTTCTATTGCCTATTGGCCATGAGATGATAGCACAGACTTTCCACAATATTAAATACTTTTGAGTCTTGTGCAAATAGACCAAGAAATTTATCAACAGAATCAGTTAATTCATTCAAAGGACTCAAATTTATTTATTATCATTTTAAAGACTCATCAAATTGCTGTTTTGACAAAAAAAAATTTATCAAATTGCTGTTTTGACAAAAATTTTGACGATGCATCATTTGCATCTGCAGTTGAAAACCATTTTAATGCATTTAATCTCTCAACAAGATCCTTGCACTTCAGAGTGGATACTTCCTTGTTTTAAACCATTGCATTTGAAGAAAAAGATTAAGCATTCGTCCCTAAAGGATACTTCAATTGATACTTTCTTGTAAATTTTGAAATAACATTAAGATAATCTGCTTAAATTCTTACTTAAATTCTAATTTCTCTTCTGGTTAACAATAAACAGAACTTAGCATTTCAGTGCTGTTCCTATGTCAAATTGGTCTACTTTTAGTTGGTTATTTGATTTCTTTACTTCAATCTTTGGTAAACTAAATGCCAATGCAGCCTCATATTATTACCTCATATATTATTGCTGCCTGTAAGGCACCATGAATAATGCGCAAATTGCAATTCTCCATATTAACTATACCACAATATTTTTTTTACCTGTCTATGTTTATGTAACATTTTCAAAAACTCTTAATTAACATTAGGACCATCCATTAAAACTTGAATTAGTTTTTTCAAAATCAAGCATCTTTGTTGTTTCAATGAGTTTGTCAAATAAATTTTGTAAATTAGGGCATCTGAGGAATTTTGAGTCAATATATCTACCTTTTACAACACCAGAACTGAAATTCCAGTAACTTAATCAGAAATCCATTTGTTCATTTTTGAAGATAACACTCATACTCTCATCATATGACAAAGTTGTGCTGTCAGAGAATATTTTATTTAAATTTAAGCATGATCTTAAATAAAAATGTGACATTTCTACATTTAAGCTCCATATTATTTCTGTCTTGGTAACCAGAGCTGAAGATCTTCAATAGTAAGCTGTGCTGGCTGATTTATAGTTTATAATTTTTTTTTAAATTAGGAGAACTTTTATATAAGTTACTGACAGAAAACAGCCAGTTAATTTTATACAAGCTTTCCAAAACTCAGGAAAACATATATTTAAACAAAAGTAAAAAAACTTAAATTAAAATAAAAAACCAGTAAATAATATATCTGATATATTAAGTGTATTTGCATTAAATTTATGCTTCTTACCAGTTGGATGAGAATCCAATGCAGATTGTTGCATAGCCATTCTGTTTGACAATTCTTTGTCTTGGGCGTTATATTAGTTACATATTATATATTTTTAAATAATTATTATATGTTAATAATACTGATAGCAAAAATTAACAAAAAGTTTTTTACTTTTCAGAAAATACATAATAAATTCAGTAGAAATCTACGCAATATTAATAATATTTCTGTAAAAGGTAAAAACATGATAATGAAATATTGAACTACTTCAGAAAAAAGCTCAACGATTTCCAGGATTTATTGCTAAAAGGGGTGTTTTTCCAGGACTTTTCAAGGACCTATCAAAATCCATGACATTTCCAGGTTTTCAAGGACCGCTGGCCCTGATATTGTTATCAAAACAAAAAAAGTTTAAAGATTCATTAATAAAACAAAAAAGAAAATAAAAAAAGATGAATTTAGCACTTTTTAAGATGCAATACTTTTTATTCAATATTTCATTTCAAACAATTCACTTTCATTTGTTGTCCACAAATCACAAATATATAACTTATGGAACAAGTATTTATATCTTTAGAATTGGTCAGAAACAGACAATGAAAATTAAGGGATGATCATAAATAAATTCTTAAAAATCAGCAAATTTTGAGACTTAGCGTTGCATGCCCCGGATGTTTTCATATCTATCATTTATTAAGGTTAATAAAAAAAGGTTTAGAAAAATTTAAGATTATAAATATAATAATTATAAAAAATAAGCAAAAACTTTAGGATCAAACTGTTTTAGCATCAAAATTTTTTTGCATCAAGCTGATATTTGTATTGCTATGAATGCTTCATCAAACGTTAACAAAATAGTTAATTGAATTAAAAAAAAAAAAAAGCACAATACAGAAAATTGAAAAATTAAATTTTTCAATTTAAAATTTCAGAACGAACAGAAAAACTAACTTTAATGCTTGGACTTGGTCCTCCATTAAAGATATCAGTGGTGAAACAACAATTGCCACTCCATGTGTGAAGACAGGTGGAAACTGGTAACATAAACTTTTACCAGAACCTTAAAAATAAGAAAAAATGAAAATTGGAAAATCATGTCCAAATTTACTAAGATATTTTATCAGAAATTTTGTTTATACCTGTTGCCATGACAACACAATTATCTTGTTTATCATAGATTACAGAACGTATTATTTTCCATTGCATTCTTAAAAATAAATTTAATAAAATATAATATATTGCATATACTAATAATAATTTTGCATAGGTCTGAAAAAGTAAAAACTATTAAAAGTAACACACACATATTTTGAAAAAGTAAAAACTATTAAAAGTAACACACACATATTTTGAAAAAGTAAAAACTATTAAAAGTAACACACACACATATTTTGAAAAAGTAAAAACTATTAAAAGTAACACACACATATTTTGAAAAAGTAAAAACTATTAAAAGTAACACACACATATTTTGAAAAAGTAAAAACTATTAAAAGTAACACACTCATATTTTATAAACTGAATAAAAATCTAAATATTGTTGGTAAAATTTGAGTTACATGACATAAAAACAATTCTATTATTAAGTATTATAGTATTATTCTTATTATTATTATTTGCTATTATTGTTATTACTGTTATTATTATTATTGCTATTATTGCTATTATTATTATTGTTATTATTGTTGTTATTATTGTTGTTATTATTATTGTTATTGTTATTATTGTTAAATATTAAGTACTGAACTCAGAAAAATATAAAAAACTTTAGATTTAATTTAAAAATTCATTTAAAGTAATGTGTTGCTCTATTGCTTTTGAATATATAAGTGCAACTATGAAAATTTTCATACTCATAACATCTTTAATAAGTCAAAAAACTTTTTTTTCCCAGGAAAAAAAAATGTTAAAAAAACTTTTCTATATTCGTCGTTGTAAAAAATATTAATTATCTTTAATTTTGAAGATCATTTGAAGATCTCTTTTTCAGAGATTGCAATGTGTGTATGTATGTATATGTAAGTATGTGTATGTAAATATCCCTGAAATGAAGAAGGAACAAAACATAAGTTAACATTAAAACATAATAATTTAAATTTTTTGAAAAAGCCGTTTAAGACTGTTTAGGCGAGTAGCCCCTGTAGCCCACCAAGTCCATTTTAGATGGGTTATTTGTCACTCCAAACTTATTAGATATAAGTTAGAAGCTGTAAAGAAAATTTTTCTATTATGAACTGATTCAGTTAAGTATCAATATTTTTGAATTAAAAAATGTATTCCATCCTAAATTTTAATTAGAAAAAATTTGAATAGTGTCATGTGTGTATTCAAAAGGAATTTTAAGAAAATAATTTTTTTTATATAAAATTAATTCTAAAAAAATAACTTTTTTAAAATTGACAACAATTGAAAACAATTGTCATTTACTTAAAAAGAGTTATTATTCACTAAAATCTAAAAAAACAAACTTGTTTTTAATTGAGGGTTATCTGAATTCCTCCTCCTTATACAATGATGCTTTTTTTGAGTAGATAAGTGAAATATTTTGAGATTTTTTAAGGAAAAATTACAGTGCCAGCATCTTTTAATCAAAAGTTGAGGAGAAAGCTGCATTTTTTTACCTTAAAAGTCAAAACTTGCCATAATACTACATGGTTACTACTAAAAGGTTACTACCAAAGTTAACTGTTACTTACGGTCTAAACTTTGAAAATCCAAAGTACTCTTTTAAAATATTAATATGCTCTTTTGTAGGAGGCTCACAATCATCCAATGCTGAAAAAAAAAATTAGTGTATAGCATATTTAATTAAATTAATCTAAAATGATAACAAGAAAAACTTGTAATGCGTACTTTCTTTAACATCTTCTTCTGCGGCTTTACTTATTACCTTTTCACATTCCAATTCTATCTGATCATAAAATATAAACATGACATTCAAAAAAAATTTTTATTATTTTTTTAACTTTTTTATTTTAAACTATTTTTACTATTAAAATAATGCTTACCGAAGCAAATGTGTTATCAAGATCACCTTCATCATCAAATTTGGCGAAATCAACTAAATCCTAAAAACATCATTTTTTTAATGATTTTTTTCAATGGGATGGTTTCATCTTTTTTATGATGGTTTCATTTATACAGGGACAAATGAAAGATTTGTAGAGATAGAGAATGGAATCAGGAGTAAAATAATGGCGAGCATGATAAGAGAAGCAACCTTAGCATATGCTAACTTTGCAACTAATTGTATATATGGTTTCCATGAGAGGTCAGTAGTGAACAATAAACAAGATAACATAAAGAAGGGGACTCAATGAGAGGGTAACCATTTATTAATATAGAAATATTGACAGTATTGTGATAGTTGTTTGCAGTAAATAACTGAGCTTTGTTGGAGTTGAAATTTACAAGCCACTGCAAGCTCCAATCTGTTACAGACACAAGTTCAGTGAGATCAAGTGAGATCAAATGAGATCTTTATTTTCAAAAAGTAATTGTGATGATGCCCAATATCTTTTTTACAACTGTTTTGTTATTTTCTTGCTTATGACCATGCATTAAGCAAATCTTTTACTAATTAATAGTCTGTTTTAAGCAAATATCATTTGCCAATACCTTATTTTTTTTCGATGGGCTGGAATTGTGTGCAATTTAGTGAATTGAGCTCTTTTAAAACAAAATTAACCTTTCTCAATTTATATTATATCTGATTCCAAAGTTTTCTTAGCATAGTGGCAAAAAGCTAAATCAGACCAAAACAAACAAGTTCTAGCATGCTAGTAAATGAATGGCAAAAGTCAATTTTGAAGACATTCTTGAATGATTTCTAATGTCAAAGTTGATTACATCACAAAAGCTTTACTTTTGACAACAGGGAGTTGACTAACATTTCATTTTATTTAAGCCTTGTCATCCATCAAAATGCAGCCAATTAATTCTGTCAAAACTTGGGTGTAAAGTTTTCATAATTATGTTTTGGTTTGTCAAAACAATTTTTAATTGCAAATGATATTTAATTGTTTGAAAACAATTAAATATCATTTGCTTATTTTTAACTTGCTTCAATAAGATTTTAATAAACAATTATTTTAATTTCTTTTTCTTTTATGTTTTTTGACAACTACTATTATTTGTAATCATACTTCATTTAAATTATTATTTTTAGTTTTTAACTAGTCTTTGTTTGTTTCCAAAGTTTTTATTTCTCATTTCAATCTCATGCTTTATAATACAGATTAATTGGTATGCTTATCATATTTTTTTCTCTTGTGAAACCCTCGGAATTAGGAAAAATGAGGTCAGCAATAAATTGCCAACCTCAAACTGTTTGAGGTCAACATCAGGTCAGCAAAAAATATTTGACACAAAGGGGTTACCATAAAACAAAGAAATAAGGTCAGCAATTATTTGCTAACCTCTAACAGTTTGAGGTTGGCAGTTAGGTCAACATTGCCATATGCCGATCCTAATTCCGAGGGCTGCTTGTGAATTGTTATTATCTTACTTATTACTTGTTTAACTTGATGGACCATATATATGGGCTAAAAAAATTAACTAATAAAAAAAGTTTATAATTTAAATAAAACTTTCTTCCTCACTTGCACTATCCTTTAAATCTGATATTTTTACTGTTGCTAGGTCTAATCCTCGCTATGCCACTGGGTATTACGAACGTTGCTGCAGTCTTCTTTCAATTAAATTTATAACTATTAGAAGCAATTTATAACTATTACAACTCAAATTTCAAATTATAGATAATATAAATAAGATGATTTTAGAAGACTAAACCTCGCTCAAATATATATATTTTTTAAACGATTTTCTAAAAATAACTTGTGTATTTATAGAAAATATTTAATCTTGATATCCTTATAAGTAAAATGAAAATGTTAATAAAATATTATTGCATTATTCATATTCTATTCAAAATTTCTTCTTAAAATAATTTCTAGTTAGAAGCTTATTATGTGCTAATATTATTATTATTTTTTTATTTTTTTTTGTTAATTAACCTCCTCAAGGCTGAGAAGGCCACTACAGACGAGGACGCTACTTATTTGTGGTTATATGGCCCTCTCTCAACTCTATAACTCCGAAACACGAACCTTGACAAACAAAGCCGCTGCGCGGAGAAACGAGTTGAGCGCGGTACTACCAGGGACGTGGTGGGGATTGAACTCAGAACCTCCTGCTTATGAACCACTCCCGCATGTTATAATATATAAGATAATATATAAGATACAAATAGAAACAATTCTATGGCTAACTTGAGCAAGTAAATGTTCTTGAGCATATAAAGTATACTTACTGTAGTAACTGGTTGTTTTGATTTAGTTTATAGGTAAATTTACTGTGATGTACATTATCCATAAAGTAAATCACATTAAATTTTACTTTAAAATAAAAGTAGTATACTGGCTTCCACGCAGGAAACCAATACCCTACATTTTTTTTGAAATCTCTGTGTGGAAACTATTATTGGTTTCCACACAGAGATTTAAAGTAATTAGGATTCAAAAGTGCTCTATATTAATTGAAAATCTCTATGCAAGAGAGCAAATCAAACTTTTATTTAAAAGTTAATCTTTGTGTGATGTACTTTATGAACGAAACCTAATGAAAACTTTAGACAAAGCATTCTAAAATTTTTAGGATGACCAAAAAGATGCCAAATTAGAATAAAAAAATACCGTAAAAAAAATATTATTAATACCTCAAAAGTGCAATTATGCTTAATTTGAGCCCTGTACAGTCAAGGAGGCTGCTAAATTTTTTATAATTTTATTTTTAACTCTCTTTTTCAACTCTAAACTTCAAAAGCCAAACCTGCTGATAGGAGAAGTAGGTTGAGTGTAATACTTTCAGTGGCATAGTATAAATTTGAACATAAAACCTCTTGATTGTGAGCCAAAATTTCTACCACTTATATATTTCGACATTAGTTAATGCTAATAGAACTATTAACATTAACTAATGTCTAAAATTGTAACTTTACCACTTTTCTATTCTGACATTATTTAAATTACAAAGCTACAATTTAATACTTTACTGTGATGGAAAACTAATTATAAACTAATACTACTAGTTTTATTTTGTATCAACAGTATTTTGCAAGTGGACTTTGGTTTTCTTGAGAAATAATAATCAAAAACATGGAAAATTGGAAATATGAAATATAAATTGGAAATATGAAAGGTGAATTGTTACTTAAAAATTGCAATAACATTTTGTAATTGATATTTGGGTACGAAAAACCATTTTTGATTAACGTTATATTGCCAATGGAAAACAACAATAGGTGTAATGGTAAACAATAGGTACATGCTGTCATCACATAGAACAAAGCTTGACTAGAGCATTAAATGCAGAGTTAGTACCCAAAAACCTAAACCCAAAAACCTAACAAAAAAAAAAACATGAATAAAGTCCAACAAAAACTCAACTTTTTTTTAATCTCAAATTTTTTATTTATAACTTTTTTATTCATAAATCACTCAAGATAACATAAATCAAACTTAAAAATTTAAAACAAAGCCATCAAACAGTTGTGCATCTTGATCTTGGATGTTGTTTTTTGTTTTTATTATCTTTGCTTCCAACAAGGCTGCAAGCAACCACTAATTAGAGTTGGAAGTTACTGGAAGAGAAAAGATGAAGATTGAAGAGCAAGATAACAATTGAGAGACAACTTAAAAGATTGCAAATTATATGAATCAGGAAAGCAAGATGAAAGAAGCGAATTCCAAAGAATTGATGTTGGAGGAAAAAAACTAGACGAATAAGAGTTTTTGGAGCACTTAGGAACAGTCAAAGAAAAAGGATGAGACTTAATTGAATGACAAGTAACATGAGAATGAATTTTAGTAGATGGCACAAAAGACGCTAGCTCTTTAGAGCAGTGCCTATTATAGTATTTGTAGAAGAGAGAAAGAGAAGCAACATGACGATGTGATAATGGTTATAGTTGGCTGCAAGAGCGGGTCCAACTATGTTTACAATGCGTTTTTGCACCTTGTCTAAAAGAAAAGGGCATCATTAGAACATCCGCCTCAGATATGGTAACAGTATTCCATACAAGAACGGATTTGAGATTCATAGAGATAAAGAATAGAATCTGGAGTAAGAAAGCACAAGCATAATAAAGAGACCTTAGCAGATGTTAACTTTGCAATGGATTTGATATATGGTTTCCAAGAAAGATCGGTAAGAGTTAATCCTAGCAGATGAAGGGTAGATGACTCATCGAGTACATTAGCATTCATAAATATAGGAAGATCAAAATTATTTGTAAATGAGTACAAGCATTACAGCTTTTTCTCTTCAATAGCCTAAAATTAGTTAAAGTGTTTACTTTAAATAATGCCAAAAGATGAGAAAAGTCATTCAATGGATCCACCTTTTTTTTTGCAGTTGAATGAAAAATTAAACAATGAGAAGAATTTTTTATCCTAAATGATCTTAATCTTTATCTGAATGGTTACACTTATTTGATGCTACTGGTGTAAACGTTTCTGAACTAGTAAACATGCTAGTTCAAGTAAAAGCAGCAGTGAATGCAGTTTGTTGACGTAATGCAAACATTGTAACTGCTGGCATTGTGTTGGAGTTTATGCTTACTAAATTAAAAGAACTAAATACTGCAATCAAAACTAAAAAAGAGTGAAGGACAGAATTAAATACTTTAATGCACTATCCACATTATAGAGAAAACAAATTAAAGCCTATAGCTGAGGTTTTTGAAACAACTTCTAATTTTAAAAATAAAAAAATATTGATTGACCTTTATTTATAAATATTGTATGAATTTGTGACATTTAATCAGATTAAATGTCACAAATTCATACGATAAAAATCATATTAGAAAGTCCTTGCACAATGAAGATTTGTCAAGTAAAAAAGATATCATAGCAGAAAATAATAAAATAACAAAAACCTTCAGAGAACAACTAAATAATGCTTTAAAAAAGGTTTTCTTGCAACAGCCAGAATTTTTTTGTAAATATTAAGCAATAATTTGAGTTTTAAATTATTAAAAGAAATGTTATTATTCAAAAGTGGTTGTACAGAGGTTGAAAGTCTTAAAAAAATAGTTTATATTTTTTTACTGACAATTAAACAAACGAGAGTCAGAAAGGTTTTCTGCAGTAGGAATATTTTGCAGTAAAATGTAAAGTCAATTAAGCAGTCAAAGTTTAAATAGATTTCTGATTTTCTTTAAAAAAATATTTTTTTTATATAATCAAGTAATTTTACTGAAATATACAAAAATAAGTTGTAACATTTTTTTAGTTTTGAAGCATAAAATAGTCAGAGATTTCCTAGGAAAATTCTGGGATTTGATTTTGTAATCCGAACTTAGAAATTTTCCAAATTTTCGCGAATCCTAATCTCTACATCAAATTAACATTTATAAATATTTTAAAAATAATTATATTTATAAAAAAAATAATTATAAATATTTGAAAAAAAAACAATTTAATTATTAGTTAAGCTATTGCGTAAAATAATACACTTGTAAAAATGAAAAATTATAGTTCAATAACTATAAATCAATCAAACTGTTACTAAATATTTGTACCGAACTTTAGCAAAAACCCGAAAAATACAGTTAAATTGAGTTTAATTTTATTTATTTAATTGACTTCTTTAAATTTTTTCAACAATTCTGGAAATTTGTAAGTCAACAAACTATAAAACTAGAATAGACAATGAAGAATTTGCTAGATCCACACAGAATGACAGAGATGGTGTTATACCATTTTCCATGCAGCAGATTGAAAACAAACAACAAGGAGGCATATTTCTGACTTTTAGAGTTAAATTTATTCCTTTTGAGACCATGTACCATGCCCAGTGAATGGTAAATGTTGTAGTACTTCATAAACGAGAAGTTCCAAGTTCGATTATGTCTTGGATTAACTTGTTTTTCTGTGCAGCTTGCTTGTTCAAGGTTTTTGAAGTTAAAGAGTTAAGAGAAGAGAGAAATTTAAAACTTTTAACCAAGAGCTCGGAAAACAAATATTTACTCAAATACACTAAGTTGGGTACAACATTAACTTGGTTCAATGCATTAATAAGCATTAACAATTATCATAATGTAATTAGATATTTATATAAAGATTTAATAGTGTTCACATATAACCTCTTTCAAATTTTCTCCTTCATTTTAAATTTTATTCCAGTTTGGCCTTTATTAAAACATAACATATGTAATATATAAAATGTTATCACACAAAAAAAACTGAATAAACTTTTTAAAATATATAAATATAAACAAATATATTAAAATATAACTAAATAAATTTAAAAAAAACTTTTTTGCACCTTTTCTTTTGTTTTTATTTCTATTTGCTCATTTTTTAACTGTTGTGTAGCTTTAACACAGTTTCCTAGTTGATTAATTTCAGAATGAATTACATCTGTTTGATCATCATAATTTGGAAGGTCTGCAAGTAGCAAATTTAGTTCGTCTGATGATGGGTGTGACACTAAAAATATTAATAAAGTTTTTTATCAAATAAAATCAAATTAGAATACTAAATATTTAAAAATTTAAACTTTATTATTTTTAAGACTTTTATTTCAATTTTATAGACACTTAGCTCCCAAAAGGGACCACTACAATTGAGAATGCTATTTGTTTTTATATATACTTTTTAAATTTCAATCCACTGTTAAACTATAACTCCAAAACACAAGCCTTGAGAAGATTGATAAGAACAGAAAACAAGTCTACTGCGCTATCAGTAATGGATCATCTCCATGGCTCTTGCCATTTATCACTACTCCACTAACACATTTAGAATTAAGTTTAAAGTTACATTTAGTGATTGTTATCTTAAATTTAAATATAAGATTATTGAAACTAATTAAATGTTTTTATATATACATTTTAAATGAATATCAAAAGTTGATGCTGAAAATTTGATGCAGAAAATTTAACTACAAAAACGTAGGTGTATAACAATAAACATTTTATGACTTATTTTTATTTTTACACTGCTTCAAAATTATATGTATTACATAAAGGCATATTAAATAAAGTAGGTTTTTTTTTCATAAACTATTCGCAAAGAACTTTTTCAATTCAACTTCTTAAGTGGCTCTATTTGCTGATAAATCAACTTTATACTCCTGTCTTGATAAAAAGTCTTTTCTTTATGATTGCTTAAAACAAAAACCATCTTGAATCTGATCATATTTGGATTGTTTCTTTTAATAATACTCTTTCTTTTCTAGACAAGGTCCTAAAATACTTTGTAAACCTCTCCCATCGCTGTAAGGTTGCACCTCTTTCTCTTTTCTACTATTACTATTATGGTCACTGCTTAAAAGAACTATTATCTCTAGTCCCATCAACCAAAACTCATCTCCAATGACTCATCATTCTGCAAAGTTACATCCTTTCATTGTATCTGTTCCTGAATACTCTTAAAACTAGCTGAATAAAATCTTTTTTTATCTAGTTTTTTCTTCCACATTTCAATCCTTTGGAACTCTCTCCCATTTCCATGTTTTTCTGCCTCATACAATCTACAACTTTACAAGTCTTCAGTCAACTGTTTCCTTGCTCTTTAACTCTATTCTTTGTTTTCTAACAACTCCTAACTTTATAGTGGTTACTTGCAGCCTAGTTGGAAGTGAATCAAAAATTAAAAATAAAAAAAAATAAATCAGCTAAGATAAAGTAAACTATTATTTGTTATGCATTGAATAAACAGTAGTAAATTATTTTAGTAAAATTTAGTTATTTTTATTTTAAAACTTTTTAAAACAAATTTTCTCTCAATCCTATTTATAAAAACAAATCTTAAAACTATGACCAATTGGATTTGAACTTTGTACTATTGTAATTTTGGATTTGTACCAGTTGGAAATGTATTTACTGTTAATTATCTTTCGGGAGAATAAAACAAACATTTATGAAATTGTTAAATAAAGTAAGATAAAAAATTTAAAAAATGGTTTTACATTTATCTTCATCATCATTAATCATGCTTTCAGAAACATCTGTACTATACTCATCTTCATTCTCAATATTATTTTTATTTGGTTTTACAATATCTTCATCACTGCAAGACTTATTTGAATTGAGAACGGTGTCAATAGTTGTGCAAAAAACATTTATACATGAGTTTGCTTCTTCTGCTATTTTTAAAATGCTTTTAAAATTTTTATTTTGAAATTCAGGTAACGATTTTTTCAACTGATTCACAAGAGTGTTAGCCCATTTTAAATTAACTAAAAGTTCTCTGAGTTCGCTTGAAAGATCTGACTGACTCATCTTAAATTAGGAAAAAGCAAAATATTAAACAACATTCATTTTCTTATCACTATAATGCTAAATAGTATTATTATGTAACCTATAAAAAAATTAATAATTTTAAAATATAAGAACAAGCAAATTTATTTCAAAACTGAAAAAATATATTATAATGAAAATAAAATGAACATTAAAAGATTACAATGTGATAATATAACTGTTATTCTATTGCATTATATATACAAATAGAAACCTAGAACCTTTTTACCTAGCACAGTCCAAGAGTAGGACTCTAGAATTATTTAGAATTTTATTTTTATATAAAAACTCTACCTAACAATTGAATTGGGGTTTAAATTTGATTACATTCGCAAAATTGGAGTAAAATATTTTGTATATCTTATACAATCTTAAATATTGAGTTTCTTCTTTCACAGAATCATAAAAACAATTACTAAGTTTTAAAATATAAGATTTGTACAAATATTTAAAAATTATAAAAGATATATTTTACATAAAATTTCACTAACTTTTAATTCAATAGAATTTCTTGGTTGACGTAGATAATTATTTAAAGTATTTAAAATAGTAAAATTTTTAAAATAAAACCAATTTTATTTTAATTAGATGATGTAATGAAGGTTTTACCATTTTCTCTATAAAATTTTATTAAATTTTTAATGATTTATTCAAGAAAGATTTCTTTTAAAAACTGATAAAAAACTTATTGCAAAATAAATGTTTTAAACAATTATATTAAATAAACTTGAAAAATTTAAATACCTTTATTCTTTAACCTTTTTAAATAGCTTTATTATTTTTAAACTTTTAAAAAATTCTGAAAAATTTAAAAATAATAAAGGTATTACACTAATTTTTCTGCTGAATCAGATAAATGCTTAAATAAAAAAAGTCTTAAATAGTAAATCACTAGACTTTATACATTTAGGTGTCATACTAAAATTATACATTTAGGTGTCATACTAACAAATACCCTGATATTTAATGTTGTTTAACACACACACACACACACACACACACACACACACACACACACACACACACACATTATTATACATTATTATTGTTATTTTTTTGTCAAATGCTTTCAATTCAAGTTTAAATATGTTTGCTTGGATTCAAAAACAGCAGTTTTAACATAGATCACTTTTCACTAAAATAATAATTGACTAAGCAGGAGTATTGTTTTATTAAGACCTGCCTGTTTGCTGAAAATATGGGCTTTTTCTATTAGTCAGTTTTTCTGGTGCAATTGTACAGCTCTATAAAAGTGCATTGAGTTATGATTATTTTAAATAAATATTCATAACTCAATGCATTTGTAGTTATGAGTGCTTTGCTTGATTTAGGCTGTAGGATATTATATTTTTTGCAATAAATCTCCATAAAAATTTCTTAACACAAACTTTTTGAAACCTCTCAATTTTGCTACAAAACATTGCTCTATTTTTTTTAGTTGAACAATTAAAAATTAGGTCTATTAGTAACAATTTATTTATTTCATTTTTAACACATTAACTATCACCTTTAGATGAACTGTTAAACAAACCAGCTTAACTTATAACATGATTCTTGGCAGTCATAATCATTTTTCTAAAAGTTGTATAGAAAGTAATGCTTTACAAATAAATTATTTTATTTACTATACTTTTTTTACTGTATTTGAGGAAGAGCGATAAAAACTGTGATAAGTTTGCAAACCATTAATCTTAGATTCTTACTTATTAAAATGAATTTTTAATGAGCAATGACAAATGTTTGAACTACAAAATAGAACTCGTCTCTTCTAAGAATCTGAGTCTCGATCTATGTAGCTCAAATAAAGTCACCCAAACATCAACAACTAAATTGTTGATGTTTGAGAGTCTTTACCTGAGTTATGTAGATGGAGACTCACATTTATAGACAAGTTGCATAAGCTAAAGTTATGTTCCATAGATCGAACATATGTTATGTTAAATATTGTTACAATATATTTTATCATAAAACAACATCAATAACATGTTTTCAAATATTAACAACTCTAGTAGAGTTGATGTTGTCTTACATGAGCAAAATTGATTTATTGTTTTTTACAATAACTATTTAATTATGAAAACAAGACACGCTTTATTTCAAACACGTTTTAAATCTATAGTTTACCATTAAATGCTAAAGCGGTTGCGTTTTTAAGGAGGTGCAAAATAATATTTTGCGGTAGCGTTTTTTAGGATATTCAAAATAAGATTTTGAATATTTGATAAAACACAGACCTAGAAAGTTATTGTTAAAACTTTTTGTAATCGTAAATAAAGATGATAAACAATTATTTTATTCATATAAATATAGATTTGTACCTTTTTAAATAAAGAATTCGAATATTGAAAAAACTGAATTTTTGATAAAACGGACTTAGCGCCTTTTAGAAAACGCTCTTCAAATGGGAAGTTCGAGTTTCGTTTGCAACAATTCCAAATAAATAATAGTAAATTCTTGCAGTATTTCTAAATGAATAAGGCGAAGGGAAGGGAGCAATTATATATATATATATATATATATATATATATATATATATATATATATATATATATATATATATATATATATATATATATATATATATATATATATATATATATATATATATATATATATATATATATATATATATATATATATATATATATATATATATATATATATATATATATATATATATATATATATATATATATATATATTACCAAAACTTCTTTTCAACACAAAATGTGATACTACTTTTAAAAATAAGACAAATTTTTTAATTTTATTTAAAAACATTTTATTATTCAAGACATATTTCGACTATATATAGTCATTCTGAGGGGAAAGCAGAAAACCACGCAATTTTATTCTTGGATTATGTAAACAAAAAAAATTCTTCAATATCTTTTACCATGGAAAAGGAAGAAAACTCAAAAATATCTTTTTTGGACATAACTCTATGTAAGTCGAGCAGTTCAACAATTAAACAGTTTTTCATATAAAAACGTTTACTGGATTATACACCCACTTTTACAGCTTTACTTTGTTTTAATATAAAATAAGTCTTATAAAATGTTTAATTGATAGAACTTTCAAAATTAATATCACTATCCTTGGTCTCCGCTATGATATTAAAAATCTTTTCAAAATTCTCAAACGTAATATGTAACCATCTTGGCTAATAAAAAAAAATATACAACTCTTACTTAAATAAAGATAAGTATGTCGTTCTATTACCGTCTGAAGACCTTACAAACTCTCGCTATTTCGAATTCCCTTATATTGGTCGAATATCTGAGCTAACGAAACGAAATTATAAAGAGACATTGTAAGTCGGTTACCGTAAAATTAGTATTCACTTCGTTAAAAGTGTCTAATTTTTTTTCATCTAAAGATCACCTTCCTGTAGAATTTAAATCATTCGTTATCTACAAATTTGTTTGTGCAGAATGTAAATCCTGTTATATTGGCGAAACCTCTCGCCACCCAAAGACGCAAGTGATTGAACACTACAGAAGGGATAAAAGCTCTCTTATTTATAAACATCATATATATATATATATATATATATATATATATATATATATATATATATATATATATATATATATATATATATATATATATATATATATATATATATATATATATATATATATATATATATTACTTTTAAAAATAAGACAAATTTTTTAAATTTATTTAAAAACATTTTGTTATTTAAGACATAGTCATCATCAGTTAAAATATATTTGTTAAAAACGGTATAAAATATAGTATGTAATTGTAAAAATAAACATAATAAAAGCCATAAAATTGTAAACAAACTTCCTATATATTAAAAAAGATTTATTAAAAATTATTTTAACAAATGTCAAATATAACGAAAGAAACCGGTAAATCATATTAAATTATGAGTCATTTTAACATGGTTTACTTGTTTATTCATATCCGCTTTTTCCCATCCTAAATGAATGCTTTCTTTAATTTTTAATTCAATTTTGTTTTTAGCACGATCCAAAATCGAAAAGCATTCATCATTATAATTTTAAAACATTTTTCTTTTGAGTATATATATATATATATATATATATATATATATATATATATATATATATATATATATATATATATATATATAATATATATATATATATATATATATATATATATATATATATATATATATATATATATATAATATATATATATATATAAGGTTAGATGAGAAAAAACAACTTTTTAACGGTACTTAAAGTTTCATGCCGTTTTCGGCACTCATCAGCCATATATTTAAATCAAGAAAAAAACCGTTCAAAAACACAATTAAAAAACCGTTACAAAATTCAAAAAAAATAATGGAATGAGTTCTGACGTCAAATAATTATAATACAAATAATAGCAATAATAATAATGATAATAATAACAATAATAATAATAATAATAACAATAATAATAATAGCAATAATAATAATATTATGGAAAAAACATCTATTCTAATCGCCAGTGTCAAATTGAGAAAGGAGGAATCTGTTTCTATGTCTGCACTTAGAAACAATCTCACTCCTTTTATTTAGTAGATTAGTAGATTAGTATTTTTATAATTTAGGATTTCATATTTTTCGGTGAGACATAATTTACAAGATTTGGATGTAGGATTATATGCTTTACATCGCCTGAGAATTTTCCACTTAACTATAGGAACTAAATTGCCTTCTTTTATTTTCCATACCTGCTTTGACAGCTCAGTATCATTTTTGTATTTTGGGATGTTAAAAGATTTAACGTGGTTAGCGTATCACAATTTAAAAGAAGTCTAACTTACACCGATGCAGGATTTTTCGTCAGGAGATGAATCACTAGTGGTGGTTACAGTTGCTTGGTATACAATATTGGTAGAATTAGCAAGGATGTTCTTTCTAAAATTAATACAGACCTAAGAAGTATATTACAATTAAACCAATGGAAAAACACTCGAAATGTTATCGATTGGTTTAAAGCCATAAAAGACAAACACCTTTATAAATTTTTAATTTTTGATATCATTGACTTTTACCCTTCTATTAGTGAAACACTT